TATTATTATTTGGCTGTGGATGGATGGGTCGGAGTTTATGGGGGGACTAACAATCTACGTCCTTCTCATCCATCCAACCATCCATCCATCCATTCATTCATTGATTCGTTCAGTCATTCCTTTCTTCCTTGTCATTGCCCATCACATAGATAGTACGGAGTACTCCGTAGATACCTCGTCATTCATTCGCATCAAGTCGTTGTGAGTGACTGGCCTGATTCTGCCTGATCCCCTGGCGCATGCACGCCCCTGCCGACTGTCGTCAGTCCTCCAACCCCGTCGGTGCCAGACCACCACTACTGCTACCTGGATTACTGCTACTATTCTTACGATTCGAATTCTTGCCATCGTTCCTTCCACCATCCTCGACTTCCTGCTTGCTTGCTGGTCGGCTGGCTGGAGACGAGACTGAGGCTTTGCTTGCTCGCCGGCTGGCTTGGCTGCTGCTTTATTGATTGCCCAGCACCTATCGCATCCCGTTGAATTGTTTCCATTCCATCTCCGCCAGGTTGCCCCTCTACTACTAATCTACTGACTTGGTTTGTCCGGCTGGTATGTGTTTGCCTTCTTTCCAGAACAAAAACCCCCTCCCTCCGTCCCTCCCTCCCTCTCCCTCCCTCTTCCTCCACACGGGGCCCGTCCTGCAGTTCACCGTTAAGAAAAAAATCACCTACCTTTCTGAAACCATACTAACGGGCGTTTGACTGACTATCTATCTTAGTGTATTATCCCTTATCTGCCTAGATCCCCTACAGTGCCCGTTCCTTCGCCGAGATATTGCGGTTCCGAGCTTCCCACACCTGCCGACTACTACGAGCTACTAGATAGCTACTACCACCTACTGGCCCCCCGTCCTACATTCCCTCGTGCCTGAGACCCCGATCAAGCTCCTCCGCTTCCCATTGCTTCTGTTCTTTGTCGGTCGATCATCATCTACTCGTGTCTAGCAGCTGTCCCGAGTCGCTGTCTCCTTGATACGTCCCATTCCTTTTCATCCGCATCGGCTTCGACTTCGACTTCGACTACTTCGAACCCCCCCAAAGCCATTACAACCGGAGCGCTCTCTGAGGCTTCCGGTTCACCTTCCATATACTACGCTTCGTTGGATGGCCGCCTCCGACGACTCAATACTACATCACAACCATCCAGAACAACCACGGACGCGCACATTTCTCCTCCGCGGACTTCCCCCAGACAGGCGGAGGCAATCTAAACACACATGCCACCTCCTAGGACGAGAGCAGAGGTTCAGGCCCAGAAACAAAAAGAAAAGGTGTGTACCTGATATTTTTCGTGTTACAGATTCAGGGTGCCCTGATGCGCATGGTCTATTTCCTGCCATCGTCTTCACAATATGTACCCTGTCTGCTCATGGAAGGTGTCTTCCGGAGTCGGCATCCCTTCTCCTATGTGCCATTGTTGCTTAACTGACCGGACTTTTGCGCACCATCGCAGCTTGCCCAATCGTACAATGCGTTGCTAGAGTAAGCACCCGCCTGGTCTCGTCATCCTTTCCCGCGAGCATGCTGACACCGTTGTTTCTGTAGGGAGTTTTCGTCGAAAGACCTTCGCACCGTAGGAAACTATACTCTTGGGAGGCTGATTGGAAAGGGTTCCTTTGGCAAAGTTTATCTTGCCTCACATAAACTTACCAATGGGTCCAAGGTATGTCACCCCGATAATCAAATCTCATGTGCCACAAGGGTCTGATTGAATCGCGCAAAGGTCGTGCTTAAGTCTTCAAGTAAAGAAGACAGGAACCTGGCACGCGAGATACATCACCACCGCCAATTCCTCCATCCCCATATCGCCCGCCTTTACGAAGTCATAGTGACGGAAAAGCTGGTTTGGCTTGTACTCGAGTATTGCCCAGGTACGTGGTGGAACACTGCTGTACCTGTAATGAATCTCATTAACACGCAAGCAGGTGACGAACTTTACAATTACCTCCTCCGACACGGTCCGCTATCCGTAGACAAGGTCAAAAAAATCTTCACACAGCTTGTGGGGGCCGTTGCGTATGTTCATAGCAAATCCTGCGTTCACCGGGACCTAAAGCTAGAGAACATCTTACTTGACAAGCACGAAAATGTCAAGCTCTGCGATTTCGGGTTTACTCGCGAATATGAGGGCAAGGCGAGCTACTTGCAAACGTTTTGTGGGACGGTGTGCTATAGCGCCCCCGAAATGCTGAAGGGTGAGAAATATGCCGGCGAGAAGGTCGATGTCTGGAGCTTGGGTATTATTCTGTACGCCCTGCTCGCCGGGGAGCTGCCGTTTGATGAGGATGACGATCAAGTAACGAAGGCCCGAATCCTTACCGAAGAACCGGCTTTCAACGATAAATTTCCCGACGATGCCAAAGCCCTCATCAATCTCTTGCTGTCAAAGCGACCCCTCATCCGGCCCAGCTTGGACGAGATTCTCGCTCATCCATTTCTTGCAGAGCATGCTCCGGAGCAGCTGGCCATACTGAAGATTCCTCGCCCGTCAGCATTTTCGACACCATTAGAGCGAACGACGCTGCAACGCATGAAGAGCGCGGGCGTCAACATCGATGAGGTTGTCGAAAGTGTTCTTTCTCAACGGTGCGACCCGCTCGCTGGCTGGTGGGCATTATTGATAGAAAAGGAACAGCGGAAAGAACAGAAGAGGGAGCGCAAACGACGTGAGCGCGAAGTGGAGGCTAAGAATATTCGCCGCCTGAGTGCAGCAAGCAGCCGGTTGGAGAAAATTTCGGCTGCCCTCGTCGAAGTTGATGAAGAGGGACACGCCTCAGACGCCCCTCTCCATGAGCGAGGACGGAGAGATCGGCGAAGCCTTCCCTCTCAACTTGCCGTTCCAGAGCTGCCAATGCTTCCTGAGCCATCTCCTCTGCAGTCTCCGGATTCTAGTACACCCCCGCCCCCTGTTGACAAAGATTCCATTCGCTCTGCTAGTTCAACCCGACAGCGTCCACCGCCACCTCCAAAGGACCAGGCGCGACGGCCAAGCACGTTGCATGTGAGCGCGTCGCAGCCGGAACTTGCACAGCACAATAATGGCATCTTTAAGCGGCGTCCCGGTCGCCGCCAGTACCCGATCATAAGCCAGTTGGCGTCGTTGAAACACTGGTTTGTGGAGTCAGCAAAAAGAGCCAAGTCTCCCCATGCTAAGGCAGCCGGCGGACAGGGAGGACATCGCAAGTTTCTTTCAGAAAAGCTGAGTCCTGCAAAGGGTCATGATACCGGGAGGAAGCCTACATCGTCATCCGGGGCCACTGCCCACCCAGGTGACTTGTTGACGCCAACGCAGATCAAGCGCTCATCCAACGCTAGCAGCCTAGCACCGAGCAGTGCTTCCTATCCCAACAACCGCCATTCATTCCCTCGTCAGCATCGTCCATTGAGTACTAGCCAGAATCACCGTAATTCCTTGTCGCCATCTCCAATCACTCCAAGGGGTTCATACAGGCGATCTTCCGCAGGTTTACGTGGCCGCAAGTCCACTTCGTCTTCCGTCTCCTCTATTCGCAGCATCCATCATACTCATACCCACTCCAAAGCATCGTCTGTTTCGTCTAATAGCATTGGATCAGCGTCAACCCCAACGGGTCGAATTTCGAAATCTCCCCATCCGTCGGTGAAAGTTCTCCCCACAACACCAAGTGCCTCTGCTCGGTTTCCTAGCAATATTCGATTGGTGCGTGGTACACACAACGGACTTCGTGACGTCGACGACCGGAATGGAAGGATCAATAACATGTTCAACGAAGCAGCCCCGGCGCCACTGCTCTACTCTCCTTCATCCAGCCTTGTTTTTGCGCGTCGTAAAAGATCCGCTTTCAAGGGACCCATGATCCACACTGCCAACCTTATGGTATCAGGTATGACGGGCACAGAGTATCCCAACGGGAATATTGGCGTGGGAGGCCCCGCAGTGGCGGCTACAGCTCGGCCCGGGGCACGGAAAAGCCAGATTATCGAAGAAGAGGAAGACATGGAGGAGGAAGAAATCGAGGAGGTGGACACGTTCGACGGCATTGAAGAAGGACCCGGCTCGCCAGTCGACTCCACGAGTTCGGAAGACCATATAGTGGGATCATCCCTCGGGCAGACCCGCAAACCGACCTTAGCTCCTGCTGCAGAACTCGACTCACCTCCCCATTCATCCTAGTTGATCCCAGTAGGAATCATGTGACCTACTGGCTTGGTGCGGCGTGTCAGACGTTTTCTTGTTGCTGTACCCTAAGAAGGGGAGGCTTAGATATTGGGAAACGAAGAGGCAAGAAACAGCGGCCATAGAGCACAGGCTCGCTAAGTACATTGTTGACATTTTCGATTCATTGTTTTCTCTTGCACATTTATACCCCCTTTTTTGCGTCTATAATGAGCTAGAATTTTTGGACATTGTCCTTTCTTTTTGTTTTTGTTGTCTTTTCTCCTTTTTTATGATGGGTCGCGCAAAATAATGATGGGATGACGAGTTGGCAGGCGTTTGTACACCATACCATCCCTCTTGTTTTCCTTCCTTTTTCTTTCTTCCTTCCCTTCTTTCTTTCGTCGTATCTATCTTGAAGAACCCGAAAGCCTACGCTTCTCTACCAGGACATCGGAGCGTGCACACCTTGCATTCCCCTTCTGTGTATCCTATTCTGGACTTATCATTTACCTCTTCACAACTGTCTTAATGTTCTTTGTCTGTCCTTGCTCGTTACTAGAGATATCCCCTTCCCACGGCTGCCGTTGTCATACTCATATTCTGGATCTTAGTTGGAAGAGGTGCCGCGCAAGGCTGGTTCTTGGGTCAGGCACGAGGAATGATTCCTGGTTGTCAATGCAGTTTAGTTTCGTCCGCAGTCCGTCGTGAGACGCTAGCGGCCCTGAGCTCTGGGTTGTTTGTATGCCCCATTTTATTCGAATAGAGTAGACTTTTCAGGTTTTGTGCCAGCATCCACATCGGGTATATCGATTGGCCGTGGTCCTGGGTTTCGTAGAATGATTACAGGTCCTGGCGAATAAAGCATCCCAAACAACTCCGGGAACCCAACGAAGACATTGGAGGAATGTAACAGGTAACTGATCGATCAGCCAGTCAAACCTACCTATCATTTCCCCAGATACTCCTCCCGAGATATTTTGCTTATTTCTGCCACTCCACCGCTCTCGACATCCTTCGGAGTTACATCATCCTCCCGAAGTCCGATATCACTCGACCCAACCTTGTCAACCGTATCCCGATACGCAGGCACAAAGTTCACAGCAATAGCATACGTCCACGCTACGACCATGAACATGGTTGGGACAATCATGGCAAACCCCGTACTGTTCCGCATATCAGCCACATGGCCTAGAATCGGAGGCACCACGGCACCGCCGGAGACGCCTCCAACGATGAACCCCGAGCCGCGCTTGTAGTGGCGGCCGAGACCGCGAATACCTAGGGCGACGATGGTGGGGAAACAGACGGATTCGAAGAAAAGGGTGCAGAAGAGCATTGCTGTTAGATGGAGGTTATTAGAATATCGCGGCGTGCTCGTCGAACGGGTGGGTAGACGAGATCTTGAAAGAGACAAGGAAGAAAGAGAGAGAAGCTTACCTATGCCAGTTCGATCGCTTTGTGTTATAGAGGCAGCGATGAAAGCAACAGTGCATGAAAGATAAATCAGGAATACCCAGCGGGCCTTGACAAATTTCATCATGACGGCTCCCAGGAACCGGCCCACGGCAAAAGCTCCTTGAGCACCTGCAAGGTATTTAGAACCCGTGGCGCTAGTTGTGCCGGGCCAGGTGTCGACGACGTAGTTGATGAAATAGCTTGCAATGGCAACTATGTAGCAGGTCCGAGTCAGTGAGATTGATTATTGAAGGTAGACAGGTGGAGATGCCATACCCTGAGCACCGGTATAAGTGAATTGCGCTAACGTGGCATGGAACAGCTTGTACTGTTTCCAGAATGGCTTCTCCTGCTCATCAACATGCGTTTCGGCAACCTGGAAGGCCATATCTTCATCGGTTACCTCGGGGATGGTGGAAATGAAGAAGATGCCGGCGAGGATGAAGACAAAGATGCCAATGGCAAGATAAACCCATTGTACTCGTTTCAAGGCATTGACATCGTCCTCGGTAGATGTGAAGAAGACATATGATGCTAAAGCAGGCGCCACACAAGTGCCGATGCCATTGAATGCCTGAGCAAGGTTGATCCTGATTTCGGCATACTTTGGTGGACCACAGACTAATAATATATTTTGTCAATCAGTGGGTTCTTCTACCTGGCATCTGGAAATGGGCCCGGGTGGGTAACTCACCGGTAAGATATGGGTTGGCAGCAGTTTCAAGAGATCCAAGGCCCGAGCCGATGACGAAGGTAGCTGCACAGAAGCCGCCAAACGAGCGATTTAGGCCTGCAGGCCACATACAAAGGGCGCCGATGCCATACAAAGTCAACCCGAAAATAAAGACGGTTTTGTACCCGAAGTGCCGGAGTATATAGTTTGCATATCCGAGGGAGGCAAGTGGATAGGCACTAGTGATTATCAGTTGGATGTTCAGGGTGCGACATTATAAAATAAATATCCTAGCAAATCCCTGACCCGAAGTAAGCTGCTTGAAGTCCTGAAGAGCGTGTCCGAGTGATATTCAGGGTATTCTGGAAATGCTTGTTGAGCGTATCTAGCAGACCATAGGCAAAGCCCTGCAAAGATCTGATCAGCAAGCTGAACTGGAACCTAGGTCTGCGCTGGTGGATCTCTCACCCATAGAAAGAAAAGTATGGTAACCAGGGTCAGGGGCCAAAGACTTTGGCGTAGAGTCAAGGTGGCTGCCGAAGTAGTCCTGCTATTGTCAACCCGGAACCCCGATCGTTTCTTGAGGAAGTGTAAGAGTCCCATTCCGTGGGATGAAGAGAAGGAAGACAAAGGGAGTGATAGAGGAGAAGAAAATCCAAGGGAAGAATGTTACTGCAGTAAGGAAAGGTCAGATCCAAGCAGGAGGAAATGCACCGGGAAACTCGAAAGGCAAGAGCGACCCAGCTGCAGGACCCCTCCCCCCTTCCACTTCCCCCCCGGCTGTTTATGTACGACTTCAACTGGATCACCATGAAAGGACGTCACCTGGGGCCATGTGAGCACATTCCTTGGCATCAATCCAGAGTCGACGCTTCGAACAACAGCCCCTCCTTTCCCTCCCACTGGTATTGCTCGGCCAAGCATGAAGACGAGCAGTAGAACGCCATCCCCAGACTTTTCCCCACAAATCCAGGCAATCCTTGGGAAAGATCACCGTCAAGAATCCACCAATTAGAAGCTGAACTGAAGCGCCGCCAGTTTTGTTTGCTCCATTGGAGCTCAGCCCAAGCCACCAAACTTCGGGGAGGCATCCCTCGTACAGCGCGACCATCCTAGATGAGGGCGGGGAGCAAGCCGCCGTCAACCCTCAACACGTTTCGCCGGCTTCCCCGCATGGGTTGCTTCCGTTAATCCGGCTAAAACCAGGTGAATCCAACCATAACCGCGCAGAAGAGCCGGGGCCAATCAACGTAGCGTCGGCATAGGAATGCGATACTGATCGTTGGGCGGCTCACTCTTAGGGCCCAATCAATATCAAGCGGACGGTGGAGGTCCCTGCATCTCCACCGACTGGACCCTGGAGGTTAGTGCGAATCCGTTGTGGCTCGGGGCCACGAGGATTCCTCATCTGCCTGTCACGAATCTACAGCTCCCGGAGGAGGGGCCAACGAACTTGAATACGGACACAATTCGTCTCTTCGTTGTTGTTATACCATCAGAACATCCAGAACATGCTACATACATGGGATCAACCATTCAACGGCAGAAAACCAAACACAACAGAGTTGGAGGGCCGATATCTATATCTATCATCACCACCCCCCGTGATATTCGAGTCGTCACTTCATTGCCCAGAATCTATGCCCTCTTAGGCTTGCCCACCGCTCCATTCTGATATCCCACGGTCGATCTCGCTGGGATGTTATTGTACAGGCGACGCTCCGCCCATTTGAGAGCCTCGTCGATGAGCCTAGTTGCCGGGTCAGTCACGGAATGGTTCGAATAGTGCACTCGGCAGGTAAACTTACACGACGGGGGCACTGATGGCCACGACGGCCTTCCACTCCATCCAGTCCAAGGGCAGGATCGAGAACAGACCCTGCAAGAATGGAATATACAAGATCGCAAAGTGCAATGCCATCGAAAGAATGATGGCAAAGACGAGCATCGGGTTGTTCCAGAGGGCAAAGGTCAGGAGAGACTCGCTGGAAGAGAGAGCGTTCATGGCGTTCAGCATCTCAATGACAACCAGGATCGAAAGGGATACAGTAGATGCAGAGCGTGACATGTCGTTTGAGAACATCTCGCAACCAATCTCAGGGAACTGAGAGGAGCACTTGTGGAAATGAGACTGCAGGGCAATTAGCAACGCTGTAATACACTCGAGAGTTAACAGGGTGATCGATTCTTACCAGTTGCCAGAAGGAGATCTGAGGGCCCTCAGGGTTGTAGACAAACCACCAAACGTAGCCGAAAACAGTAGCCGCACCAACATACGTACCGATCACCATGTACCTAAACAGTAGCCAGCCGCCGACCAGAGGCTCGTCGCGCTTCCTGGGTGCGCGTCTCATCACATCATGATCGGGGGGGTTGAAGGAGAGAGCGGTGGCAGGCAAACCATCGGTAACAAGGTTAACCCAGAGAAGTTGCACAGGAATCAAAGCTTCCGGCATGCCCAAGGCGGCGGTCAAGAAGATCGATACGACCTCACCGATATTCGAAGAGATAAGGTAGCGGATGAACTGCTGGGTGTTGCTGTAGATCGAACGTCCTTCTTCCACAGCCACAGTAATGGTTGCAAAGTTATCGTCAGCCAAAACCATATCAGCGGCCAGCTTAGCAACGTCGGTTCCTGTTCCCATGGCCACGCCAATATCCGACTTCTTCAGGGCGGGCGCATCATTGACACCGTCACCAGTCATGGCGACCACATGGCCCTGGGATTGGAGTATGTCGACCAGCTTGGACTTGTGGCTAGGCTCGGTGCGTGAAATCAAAGACACAGTCTTAGCCGCCTCGAGTTTCTCCTCATTTGAAAGGGCGTCGAACTCCCTTCCAGTAAGACTCTTTCCTTTGAGGTTCTCACCTTCATGGAAGACACCGATTTGACGACAGACTGACTCGGCGGTGTTCTGATTGTCACCAGTGATAACGATAACCCGAATACCAGCCTCACGGCATTTTCTAATCGAAGCAGCAACCTCAACCCGGGGAGGATCAAGCATCGCGACAAGACCGATAAGAGTCATGTTTTGTTCCAACTGAGCGTAGTCTTCTGATGTTTGAGCATTGTGAAGGAGGGGGTTGTTACCAACGCTGTCCACACTAGCCAGAGCCATGACACGAAGACCATGACTACCACATGCCACAACCTCAGCAGACAGCCGATCTAAATGATTCTTGGTAAGAGATACCCGCTTGCCGTCGGAGCCCAGGAGAACGTGAGAACAACGCTCCAAGATAGACTCAGGAGCACCCTTGACGAGTAGCTTCTGTTCCTTCTCGGTACCAATGAGGACGGACATGCTCTTCCGGTCGCGCGAAAATTCATACGTTGCTTTCAATGGCAGGCGATCTTCAAAATACGCACTCGCAGCGTGAAGTCGTTGAGAGGCGGGCTGGCGGAACAACTTCGCATTGGTAGCAGCGTCATCGGTGCCGATCTTTTCAACCAAGACACGCAGGGCACCTTCGGTGGGTTCGCCGATACAAGAGAATGAGCCGTTCTTCGCATCGTGGGCCAAAGTTGCGCTGTTGCAGCGAGCCATGACCTCGGCCATCTGTCGAACGGTGGCAGAGGAGACGGCAATGTTCTGCAGTTCCTTTCCGTCGCGCGAGAGTTTACCTTCGGGCGCAAAAGTGGTGCCTTCGATGTTAATTTCTTCAACACCGTCACCGGACTGGTTCAGATACACGATCTTTTCCGCGCTCATTTGGTTGGTGGTCAAGGTCCCTGTCTTATCGGAGCAAATCACACTGCAACTACCCAGGGTCTCCACGGAGGGAAGCGAACGGACCACAGCATTCTTCTGGGCCATCTTGCGGGTACCGAGAGCGAGACAAGTGGTGATAACGACAGCCAACCCTTCCGGAATGGCCGCCACACCCAGAGAGACTGCGATTTTGAGATAGTAAATGGCACCCTTAGTCCAGCCACCATGGGACGGATCATTGAAATGCTCGATATTGATGATCCAGACCAGAATGCAAATGACAGTGATCACTTTGGCCAACATGTCTCCGAAATCATCGAGCTTCTGCTTCAGCGGGGTCGGCTCCGAGATCTGGGAGGTGATGCTCTCGTGGATATCACCAATTGCGGTCGATCCGCCGGTCAAGACTACAATAGCCGTGGCGTGCCCATTGACAACTGTGGTACCAGAAAAGAGCATGTTGGTTTGGTCCTGCTTGACAGCCTGCTTGTCATGAACAGTGCGGGCGTCTTTGCTCACACTCTCACTTTCACCCGTCAGAATCGCTTGATCCACCCGGAAGCTGTTGCTGTGAACGGCAAGTAGCCTGCAGTCAGCTGGAACACGATCTCCAACCGCAACATGAACAATGTCTCCGGGAACAAGATCCTCAGCCTTGATACGCTGGGTAGTACCATCGCGGACAACAGTGGCTTCATTTGCAGAGTATTCCTGAAGAGCAGCGATGGCCTTCTCAGCATTGCTCTCTTGGGTGACACCAACCACGGCATTGAGAATCAGAATCGTCAGGATCTATAGTGTAACAGAATTCGTTAGTGTCTCTGCTCAACGCGCGGAGCGGGAAGCTTCCAGGTTCATACCACAACGGGGTCAACGAAGGCAGACCAGTCATCTCCTTCTTCGAAGAGCGCCAGAACAAAGGACACGGCAGCGGAGCCCAGCAAGATCAGGACCAGTTGGTCTTTAAATTGTTCCAATACAAGCTGCCAGAGAGGAGTTGGTGGTTCTTCCGCAAGGGCTGTCAATGTTCAAATCACCGGGTCAGCGCCTGCAATCTTACGTCGAAAATATGACAACATACCGTTAGGACCATGCTTTTGTCTTGATTGAGAGACCTGGCCCTGCGACAGACCGGAGCTTTCCTTGACACCGAAATGGTCCAGCACTTCTGCTGGAGAAGAGAGGTAGGAGTGCTCCATGTTGGATCCCGAGAAAGCGCAAGGTGGCCAGGACCGGGAGCAACAAGAAGGGGAAAAAGGAAAAGAAGGAAGGGATCGGGGATATAACCCAGATCAAGACATGAACGCCAAGTGGCCGGAAGCTTGGGACCTAGTGAGTGAGTGGTACTGTAATAAGCCAGTGGGTAGATAGTCCCCTAGGTAGTCCGCAGCTGGGAAGGATCTAGAAGAGTGGAGGAGGGAAAGCGGACAAGATACGAAACGGCGGGCAGCACAGTTGCAAGGGAATCCCAATAGATACCGTCCACCACGCACGGGGAAGGGGAACGGAGCAACCACAGGGCCGGGGGGTTTGAAGTTGGATGGCAAAAGAAGATGATTTTCAATTTATGAATAATAAATAATCTCCCCTACCATACACACCAGGACCGAATGATGGGCCAGGGATTTTGCCTCTGGGGTTCGGGAACCGTGAACCAGAGGTGGCTTTGTCAGGCACTCAACGTGTTCTCTTTTGCGGTGTCTGGATCCATCGGTCCCCGTCGCTGCGCCAGATTTGCCGGTACCAATCCGACAGGGCTGAACCGTACCATGACCCGTGCTTCGAGTCCGGGCGCTGGACTCCGTCTGTCCTCTTACAGTCCCAATTCTACGACTACAAGGAAATACTATCGACTGAGGTCAAGATTGTATCTATGGACTTAGTAGATAGCACCTACGATCCAAAGGACAATGGAACTGGCCAAGCAAGACTAGAGTAGGGCAAAAAGGGGGAACGAAATCAGAACAGCAAAAAGGAAAAAAAGGGTCGCCCTGCCTCAGCGAGCACAGCCTTCTTAATAGTACTTAATAATAAGAATCCTACGTATCCATTCGTTCCCCCAGCGTTATCTCCATCGCTCTGCAACCGACAAAACCCACCGCTCGGTTATAACGATACCGTACACTCCACCGCGAGAATGAGGATGCCTTCTGGTTGCCCCAAGGTTCAAACTAAACCACTCGTTCCATATCATTCGCAGTCATTGCTCGTTTGGCGGGGTCGCCCTCCTCGGATTGGAAGGCATTGCATAACCCTGGTGGATGTTCTCTTCGGTCGTAGAGTTCTGATTTGTCTTCTGGCTCCCGTCTGGGTGTCGGGCCCGGAGCGCATGTCCGAAACAAGCCATCGATCTTCCTGCCATCCACACCAGCAGGGACGACCGTTTGTCCATAGTGTACTCCGTACACAGTAGATACATACTATAGTAGTAGGATTGTGTCGACTGTAGTCGCCCTGTAGGGCAGAGGGCCCGTCCGCCGTCCACACTGCCATTGAGGGTGGTTTGGTCTCTCGGGAGTCTGTCACGTCCCCGGCTAAACCCACCACTGGCAATGTGCTATCAACGGAGCAGTGATTCGGGCAATGGAGAAGTGTAAGCGGCCCTTGATTGCGTGGCCAAAAGCTCGGTCACATACAAAGATTCCCAAAGAGGGCCGTAGAATGTCCCCTTCTTACCGGGCAATAATCAGTGAACTTGTCATTTGTCGGGCTCTCAACATTTAAGTCTCGTGCGTTCTGGACAGACGATCATCGGAGATACGGAGGATAGCTCAAACCCGTTGGGGAGGAGACGCAAGACGTATAACATCTTCACCGGCTGTGCTGTGGAGCGTTGCGCAGGATAACGGGCCGAACAGGGCCAACAGGGCCAATTTTAAAGAGACAGAGGACCTGAAATTGAACTAGTAGGTTGGTCCAGACGAGAGGGATCATGGTGGCCTCCGTAGTATGATCTGTCGACCACCTGAACTGGTTCCATTAGCCGCCCTCGAATTTCTTCTGAGTCCATGTGCTTGGCTTAGTTGCCACTTGCCAGGTCCAGTTCCAATTATAGTGACTTATCTTCTCTGTACTGTTCGTTCGCCTACCTACTATGTACCTACTAGATATGTACTCGCTTGAAGCCGTGGTACTCCGTCTGCAGCACTGCAGCACTATCGGGGTACCCACTCGATACCCAGGAAATGAGGTCCTCATAATACTCCGTAATGGGATTCTTATTAACTACTGGATTTATTGGATTACGTCAGGGTCCAGTGACCGACGAGAGCAGGTGACCGGCGTGCTGACTCACCATGACGCTGCCTGAGGCTTCAAGAGCAAACATCGCAAACAGGCGAGGCGCCCGCTTCTCGCTAAAGCTGGCTGGTCGTCACCTTCACCGTCCATCACTCGTTGCTGGAGGATCACATCTGCCAAACCTCTCGTGATTCCCATCCTCTTTTCATCCCGTTCTCCGTTGTCTCGTGCTCTACTTCGGTATCCTGCACCTCTGTTCTCTCTCCACCATCCTCTTCCAAATCACCCACCTTCTTCCCCAATCCCCTTATCTGCAATACATTGCCTAGTATGACTTCTGAGGTATGTTGTTCCCCCCAAGCCTGACCCCTCTCTGCTATGGCGGCTCCTCCTGGCGTCTGTCCAGTCATGACTGTCCATACCCTGACCGCGTATATCCCTACTACTGGGTTTCCTCTGGTCATCCCTCTGCTGTTGTGTTGCGATCAGTCTGGACTCTGCTAACTGTTCCCCTCCCCCTTTACTTGCAGCGTGAGAAGTAAGGATCCAGACCCGTCTCGACCAGTGACCGACGACAGCAGCACTGACATCTCACCCTCTTCCAGCAAGACGTTCCTCGCCCGGCTCTGTGAGCAGGCTGAGCGCTATGATGGTAAGATGCCTGCTTATTAGTCCGCCGTGTTGGCCTCACATGCTGATATCTACCGCCTATAGAGATGGTCACGTACATGAAGGTCAGTAGCCGCCTGTCAGCCCCTAGACTTTGGAGAAGCATAATCGCTAACTACGTGGCAGGAAGTCGCCAACGTATGAGCCCCTTACCTCCCTCTGACGATAACCCCTTTTCCGTAACCCCCCCTTTTACCCGTGGGTCAGACTGACCCCGCATCAGATCGGAGGCGAGCTTTCCGTCGATGAGCGTAACCTTCTCTCTGTTGCCTACAAGAACGTGGTCGGTACCCGCCGTGCCTCGTGGCGTATCATCTCCTCCATTGAGCAGAAGGAGGAATCCAAGGGCTCTGAGCAGCACGTTTCGATCATCCGTGACTACCGCCAGAAGATCGAGACCGAACTTGAGAAGGTCTGCCAGGATGTCCTCGATGTTCTGGACGAGTCCCTCATCCCCAAGGCCGAGACTGGCGAGTCCAAGGTCTTCTACTACAAGATGTGAGTATTGGCTCGCAATTAGGACAAGCGTGCAAAGACCAGTGGCTGACGGTTGTCCGATATATAGGAAGGGTGACTACCACCGCTACCTCGCTGAGTTCGCCTCTGGCAACAAGCGCAAGGTCGCTGCCACCGCCGCCCACGAGGCTTACAAGGTATCTGCTCCTTTGAAGAATCGTCCGTTAGGTCATGGACTCTTACTGACAATTCTTTACAGAACGCTACCGATGTCGCCCAGACTGATCTTACTCCCACCCACCCCATCCGCCTGGGTCTCGCCCTGAACTTCTCCGTCTTCTACTACGAGATCCTGAACTCTCCCGATCGTGCCTGCCACCTTGCCAAGCAGGCTTTCGATGACGCCATTGCGGAGCTTGACTCGCTTTCTGAGGAGAGCTACCGTGACAGCACTTTGATCATGCAACTCCTCCGCGATAACCTTACTCTTTGGACCTCTTCTGATGGCAATGACGCTGAGGGCGCCGCCCCCAAGGAAGATAAGCCCGAGGAGGAGGCCGCTGCCGCCCCCGAGGACAAGGGTGAAGAGGCTAAGCCTGCTGCCCCCGAGTCCTAAAGGGATGGTCTGTGTTCTAGTGTATCAAAAACAGTGGTATCCTCGACGTGCCAGTTCGCGCGTGCGATTACTACCTGGAAGTGCTTATGAAGGTCTGCTTTAGCTGCGTGGAGGGTTTGGACCGGCACATATCTTCCACTTGTTCCGGATCCTGTGGGTCGGCCGGCGGAGTTTGATATTTGGAGAGCGAAGAAAAGGGGCTGAGTGGAATTTACCTCTCTTTTATTCTCTCTTTATTCACACCCCAGCAAGATACAGTGTCTTATCTCAATTTCTTATTCACCCCCCGCCCCTTTTCCCGATTTCTCTTGCTGTTTCGCTCGTACGTGTTAAGAGCCTTAAGCTTCACAATATCTCAAATCAAAGTAGCCAGTTCTCTCAATCCCAAGAAGAACCCGTGCGTAGCGGGAATTGATTCATTAATTGTGACTGCTTGGTCCTGGCCGATGCATTCCAAGTCGCTTTCGCCGCCTTCCCTGCACATCCATCAACTAGCAGAGTAGCTTTCTGGCGTTTAATACATTGACCCCACAATAAGATATCCTCTTACGAAGTGGGGGCACACTATATATAGTTACGGCACCGTCACCACTTAACTCCAAAAAAGTAAATGAGCAAATGCAACCAAGGCACCCTCTCTATCAGCTGAATCAATAATATGTGCTACCGAAGGAAATACAAGGAAGATAATAATGCGCTATAGATGAAGACGTCAAGGGGGACGAAAATGAGGATATTTTAGGACGAATATACAAAAACAAAAAATATAAGGTTAAGGAAGACGACGTGTCAAGACCGGTCTAACAAAGACGAAAGAGGTAGAAAAAGAGAAGGATAGAAGAAAATGAAGCTAAGGGGGGAAAATCTTGTAAGTGCAGATCCAGTTTTAACAAATCACATAAAGTCATCGTCATCCAACCCATCATCATCATAAGAGTTGGTTTCAATCTTATTCTCTCTAGAAGTGACTAGAGAGACCTTGGTCTTGGCTGCCTTGGTCTTCTTGTTGCCCTTATCGGCCGCACGCTCCTCCTTCATCTTCTCATTGCTGAGGGTGGTCAAAGAGGAGGCGATCTTCTTGACATCACCGCTGGGCAGGTCCTTCACGAGCTGCTTGACAAACTCCTGCGCCCATAGAGCATACTGAGGCTTCTTAGACTGGGTGGTCAACAAAGGAATCAGGGTCGTGGTCACGCGGGTGAATTGATCCTTGGTAGCGGGCTTGAAGAGAGGCATGGCCGACAGATCGATGGCCTGTGTGGGGTCCGCCGAGTCACTGATGACAATGGCCTTGGGGGCGGCGGTACGGTTGCGCATGCGGTTCATGTCGATATCGTCGAAAAGGTCCTCGGCGTGCTTGAGATCGGAATCCTTCTCTGTCTTGCGGAGACGGGCTCTCCGCTCGGCCTCGTCCTCGTCGCTGTCCTCATCGGACTCGGCATCAGCCTGGGCCTTCCGCGTGGCCTTGTGCTCCTGTATCCGCTGTGCCTTGCTCTTCTTGTTTGCGGCGGCTTCGGCCTCAGCCTTGGCCTTAGCCTCCGCAGCCTTGGCGGCCTTTTCGCGCTCTACTTCGGAATCTTCGGCGGCGTCCCAGGAGTCAAGGACCTAGTTTGGTCAGTCATCTTGTAAGACTAGGTCTTACTTTGCCCTCGAAGCGGGGACGAGGAATTCCACAGGCCCCTGCACAGAGAGGGTAACCCCCGAAAGATGAAAGGCAAAAAAAGGGGAGGGGAGAGGGGGGGGTGCGAGGGGAACTTACGTCGTCCTCTTCCTCGTCATCAAACTTGCGACGGGGAGCAATAGGAGGGGGGGAGACACTCTCCTCCTCATCATCTAGCGAGCCGTCAGTATTGTCGACAGTGTGCATGTATGTATGTCCTCTGGCGGGTGAGGGACACAAAATCCAGACACGGGACTTACCCCACTTTGAAGGAGCCATGGCGGGCAAAAGGTCGTCAAGTTTGGGGCGAAAATGACAAGCTGAGAAGTGTCTTGCGTGGCTGGCAGGAAAGCCGGGGATAAGCGTCAGGGCCAGGCAGAGGAACTGGGGTGGACGACGAGGTACTTGCTGGAGGAGGGATTTTGAACGAACGAGTGGCTTGATCGCGTGGGGCATGGCGGCGTGGTCACGTGCGAGCGGGATCGCTGATGCCCAATATTTTTCCGTCGTAGGAGCGCCGGCCCGGTCTTGACCTGGCCCGACTCGGGTGACTTACCATGGCTCGAGGAGAGGGGAACTATCTTAGAACAATCAATGCAACAATGGGGCGATTTTTGAAGTGAAAATTTTCATTATGTGCCACTAAATTCATTTAACTGGCCTATTCAATTCGTCATCATAAATATTCATCGTCTCCGATGTTTTCGCCGCTTAGTTTCCATCCAACGATGCTATACGCAGCCACGCGGAAGGGCTAGTGGGACATTATACGGTTGATGGCTGCATTTACAGGTTAACGGCGGTGCGGAACTTGTCACCGGCGTAGACGGCGTTGTCGCCGAGCTCCTCCTCGATACGGAGGATCTGGTTCAGCTTAGCCAGACGCTCGGAACGGGCAGGGGCACCGGTCTTGATCTGGCCAGAGCGCAGACCGACAGCGATGTCGGCAATGGTGACATCCTCGGTCTCACCGGAGCGGTGGGACACCATGACACCCCAGCCGTCAGCGTAGGAGTCCTTGGCAGCCTGGATGGACTCGGTAAGAGTACCGATCTGGTTGACCTTGAGAAGGAGAGCGTTGCAAGACTTGAGCTCAATGGCCTTCTTGATACGCAGGGGGTTGGTGACGGTCAAGTCATCACTGTAGAGATTTCAATTAGCCACGGCCATGCCGGTTGATGATACTCAAGAAGGATAGTACGTACCCAACAATCTGGAAGTCAGAGGTCTTGTAGAAGTAGCTCCAGGCCTCCCAGTCGTCCTCGGCGAAGGGGTCCTCAATGCTGACAATGGGGTACTTGCTGGCAAGAGACTTGTAGAGGTCGGCCAGCTGCTCGTAGGTGAGCCACTTGGAGGGGTCGCTGTCGGGGTTCTTGAAGTCAAGGTCGTACTTCTTGGCGTCAGTCTTGTAGAACTCGCTGGAGGCAACGTCCATGGCAATGCTAATCTTGCCAGTGTAACCGGCCTGCTCGATGGCCTCGGTGATCAGGTCGAGAGCCTCCTCAGCAGTTTGGATATCGGGGGCGACACCACCCTCGTCACCGACGTTGCCAGCAGACTGGCCGTACTTCTTCTTGGCGAGAGCCTTGAGCTTCTGGTAGACCTCAGCACCCTGGCGGAGACCCTCGGAGAAGGAGGTGGCAGTGCTTCACAAGGTCAGTCAAATGAGATTTGGTCTGCACGGCGGTAATAGCTTACTTGGGGACGATCATGAACTCCTGGAAAGCCAGGCGGCCACCAGCGTGGGAACCACCGTTCAGGACGTTTTGGAAGGGAACGGGAAGAACGTAGGGCTTCTTGGTACCGGCAAGGTCGGAGATGTGAGCGTAGAGAGGGATGCCCTTCTCAGCAGCACCGGCCTTGGCAATGGCCAAACTGACACCAAGGATGGCATTGGCACCGAGGTTGGACTTGTTGGCAGTTCCATCAAGCTTGTTGAGGAACTCATCAACCTTGGACTGGTCCTTAACATCGAGGTTCTCCTTGATGACAGCAGGGGCGATGGTTTCGTTGACGTTCTGGACGGCCTTCAGGACACCTAATCAGCAGATTACTGTTAGTTATCTGATCAGCTGCCCAGTGAAGTATATACTGGACTTACCCTTGCCACCCCACTTGGTCTTGTCACCATCGCGGAGCTCGTGAGCCTCATGCTGGCCTGGACTCGACTGTCAGCATATCTAATGGAAAGAATGGGCGGGCCACTCACCAGTGGAAGCACCGGAGGGGACAATGGCACGGTGAAGGCCGGTCTCGGTGACGACGTCAACCTCGACGGTGGGGTTACCGCGGGAGTCGTAGACGGAACGGGCGTGGATCTTGGAGATAGGCATGATGAAGGGCTGGGAGTATGGATCAGTAAACTGGAGAGAGAACGAAGACGGCGGTGGGGGAGCAAGGCCCAGATATAAGAAAAACGGGGAGGGAAAAAGAAAAGGCTTTGGACTGCTGTTCGGTGTGCACTAGCAGCGGGGGGAAGTGGTGTGTGTTCACCGAGGACCCAAAAAGAATGAGCGGATGGCTGATGGGGGACGGAGAGGGGTGGGAGGTGGAGAGGTCCGATCAATTAATGAACCAGACTCGGCACAGCCGTTTCCAATGATGATCGAGTGGATCAATCGGAGAGGCGCTGACCTTATGATGTGAGGATGGTACGGATGACGATGAGGCAGGGAATGGAGAGATGAATGGATGAACGTATGGATGGATGGATGGAGGGGTCAACAGTGGGATGATGGCGGGGTCATGCCTCACAGCTGGGGGAGGGAGAGTGGCAGCAACAGCTGGGACTGAGGGCCGGTGGGAGGCTGTTGGGAGGGGGCGAACACTTACAAGGTCCTGCTGTGGATGAGGTACTAAGCAAGTATGTTCAGAAGGAGAAGAGGAATAGTAACAAGCAGTAAATAAACAACAAGGGAGAGCTGGTTCTTGTAAGCTAGCCCACGGTGTGTCCCCGGAAAGCTCACGGTCTCGTCCTCCGAATCTTTCCAAGGGAATGGTGGGGCAGCCAGCAACTGTCGCTGCTCTCGCTGGCTGAAGCTGCCTCTGCTGAGACGCTCCCCAGCGAAATCTTCCGCATTCCCTCGGGGTAAGGCGGGTGTTGCTGCTGAGGACGGGGTCGCTCGCCCTCCTGAGGTAGTCCCCGGCTAATGTAGTACTATCGACCATGTATGATGCCGGGAACAGACATCCCAGATGCATCGGTTGTTCTCTGTACTCTGTAGACCACATAACCCCTCTACCTCGATCGATCTATGGCCTATACCCCTCCTGTCCCATCTAGTATCTAGTCGTAGAACCCATGGCCAATTAACTTGGCAGGCCCATCATGAGTTAATGTCTTCCACATACGGAGTACATTGACAGCTCTCCCACATGCCCCTCAATGAGTGCAAGAACATCATCGCTTCTGGTCTGGAAGCTTCCATTGCGTAATAACGAAAATGTCGGCTCGTCATTCGACACCTTGGTGCCTGAGCCACATCCGGATAATAGATACTGCGGCGGCTAAGTTAGAAGCCTTATCTTCCAGGCAGTAACCAACTGGCACACGTGATTATGTCATTGTCATGCATCGGAGTCATGTGATCGTGATGACCTGGTGGCTGCTGTGAGCTCCTCTACAGCTCTCCGAGCTGGGAGCAGTCAGCCAGATACCATCAACCAGCCTATCCCCTTATCGATCCTTCTACATCACCACTCTACCAGGGTCACATCTCGCTTGTCCAAAGCCCTGGTGATAGTTTTTATCTCCGGTTTCCTTTTCGGTCTCCCTGATTGCCTTACATCATGAACGGCGCCAGCGATCCGGAGAGAGAGCAGGCGCTCGAAGATTACAAGAGAAGTCTGCTCGAGCTCCGAGAATGGGAAGCCAAGCTCAAATCCCTTCGCATGGGCATCAAGGATTTGCAAAGAGAATTCGATATCTCCGAAGAGAACATCAAGGCCCTGCAAAGTGTCGGCCAGATCATCGGAGAGGTGTTGAAGCAGCTGGACGAGGAGAGATGTATGCCTATCCCAATCCTTACCATCATGTTATCTTTGAATAGGAACTGTCTCCGAAGAGAGCCGTTTAATATGAGCGTACGTGAGCTGACCGAAACCAGTCATTGTTAAGGCATCATCCGGACCCCGATATGTCGTCGGTTGCCGCTCGAAGGTCGATAAATCCAAGCTAAAGCAGGGAACACGTGTTGCCCTCGATATGACTACACTTACTATAATGCGGATGCTTCCGAGAGAGGTTGATCCGTTGGTATACAACATGTCGCTGGAGGACCCGGGTCAGGTCAACTTTGCAGGCATTGGTGGCCTGAACGAACAGATCCGTGAGCTTCGGGAGGTGATCGAGTTGCCGCTCAAGAATCCCGAGCTTTTCCAGAGAGTGGGTATTAAGCCGCCCAAGGGTGTGTTGCTCTATGGTCCTCCTGGTACGGGAAAGACATTGCTGGCACGAGCAGTGGCAAGCTCAATGGAGACCAACTTCTTGAAAGGTACGCATGTTCAAGTTTGGCATGGTTTTGGCTAGGTCCGGGTCGCTAACCGGTCCGCAGTTGTCTCGTCTGCTATCGTCGACAAGTACATTGGTGAATCTGCACGGTTAATAAGAGAGATGTTCGGGTACGCCAAAGAGCACGAGCCTTGTATCATCTTCATGGATGAAATCGACGCTATCGGTGGAAGACGCTTCTCTGAGGGTACATCTGCGGACCGAGAAATCCAGCGGACGTTGATGGAGCTTCTCAATCAGCTGGATGGTTTCGACTACCTGGGAAAGACGAAGATTATCATGGCTACGAATCGACCCGACACGCTTGACCCGGCTTTGCTGCGAGCCGGTCGTCTCGACCGGAAGATTGAGATTCCTTTGCCCAACGAAGTCGGTCGTCTGGAGATCCTGAAGATTCACTCTAGCACTGTCCAATTGGATGGCGAGATCGACTTTGAAAGTGTGGTGAAGATGAGTGACGGACTTAACGGTGCTGATCTTCGCAATGTTGTCACTGAAGCGTATGCCTCTCCTTCCTTCATTCTCTAACAACCCCCTCCCCCCCTGATTCTTTGATTCCACATGATGATAACTAACATTGAGACAGTGGCCTATTCGCTATTAAGGATTATCGTGATGCAATTAACCAGGATGACTTTAACAGAGCGGTCCGCAAGGTGGCCGAGGCCAAGAAGCTGGAGGGCAAGCTGGAGTACACGAAGTTGTAGTTCTCTTCCGATTGAATATACCTGAGAATTAGCCGTGATTATAGAGAGCTGTTCTTCCTTCTCTTTACCACACCCACCCCTCTGCTTACGCTCATATAATGTACACGATCAATGCATCGACAATGCCCAATGCCGTAAGTAGTAGCTAAATTGAAGGGGGCTTCCCCACAGTTTAGGGAGAAGGTGCATGGACCCTGGCATGGGACCCTGACCGGATAAATCTTTTTCGCATCTTTGGATGGCGCTTAACTTGAGCTTCATCATCGACAGCTCCGGGATCCCCGGGAAGACCTGAACGGGCTGGATGAACGACGACAATGTAAATGGGGCTGTTGCGCTACGGTGACGCCAAGGCCGAGGCCAGGGATCGGCATCCATGGGCTGAGCAGTGAGGACAGAGGGCAGTGAGAGCTAGGCGCCACCTGGGTTTACACGCGTCCATCCTAAGGAGCTACCTCACTTTATGTAATGCTCGTTTCATCCTGACATCTGTTCAATAATATCCATCTGGGGCCTGTATGAACTAGTCGTACCTCGGGAGACGTCCGCGGGATCAACAGACCGACTGCGACCGGCCACCAACACAGCATATCGAGTGGGCTGCTCGTTTGATCGGTAACCTTGCGATTCATTTTGGCATCTGATTATCACTGCAACAATTCTCAGGCTTGGCTGACATTTGTATGGGGTTCTGCTAAACTCTAGAGCCTCCCACGCCTTTATAGCCCTGGCGAGACCTGCTACTGATTGGTCTACCCCAGACTACAACTAGTCTTGCTACTACTACCGAGGGACGACGAGTATCCTGTAACCAATCGAGGTGCGAGACGGGTCCTTATTCGATCACCAACCTCAATCCCTCCAAACCGGCACTGCACCTAGTCGCCTGCTTTCTCGGACTTAGAGCGCGCGCGTCGGAGGACAGGTCCTCCTTCGGTAGAGGACAGATATAGTAGTAGAAGCTTGGCGGTGGTGGTCATGTCTTTCCAGGCTCCTCGGGACAAGTCCCCATTTTCGTCCCAGCAACCTTTCCAGAACAATTACTGGCGTGCTAGTCGAAGCCCCGGGACCAACGGGCTGCCTGGGTATGGGTTTTCTCCCCCGACTGGCATCTCCAACACCCTGAACAATCCCCTCACCAGCGACCGCATCCTTCCCATGTACAAGGACAAGCCTTATTTCGCACCACGGCGCACCGGTCCGAGAGCCAAGCGGCGAAAGATCATATATAGCGGATTATGCCTGTTTGCGCTGCTGTGTCTGTGGTACTACTCGGGCTCTGGCCAGCCAGAGTGGAAGACGCCGGACGGAGAGAAGGGCATTGAGCTCTGGAAGTGGGTGCAAAGTTTGGAGGAGTCGGAACCAGCATACGACGGTAGCTCGACCAAGAAGAAGATTGACTGGGCGGCCAGGAGGGAAAAGGTCCGCGACGCATTCATCGTGAGCTGGGACGGGTATGCCACTAATGCGTGGGGTATGCGTCTTGAAAGATTTTCTGCTTCCCTGCGTTCGATAACTGACGATGATTCTCTGTCTCCCGGTGAATAGGTTACGACGAGTACCACCCGATTGCCAAAAATGGCCGGCACATGATTGCCGGAGGAATGGGGTGGATAATTGTTGATGCGCTGGACACGTTGATGATTATGAACCTGACGTCGCGAGTGCAACACGCCCGCAGCTGGATCCACAACTCGTTGCAGTACAACCAGGATCACGACGTGAACACCTTTGAAACCACCATTCGTATGCTGGGTGGCCTACTTTCCGCACACTATCTCTCCACCACCTATCCCGATCTGGCCCCGCTCACCGATGACGATGCAGGCGCGCCGGGCGAGGACTTGTATATCGAGAAGGCCACCGACCTTGCAGATCGGCTACTGGGCGCGTTCGAATCCAGTACGGGAATCCCCTACGCGAGTATCAATCTCAACAAGTCGGAGGGCATTCCCTCGTACGCGGATGGTGGCGCCTCGTCTACTGCCGAGGCGACGACCCTGCAGTTGGAGTTCAAATATCTGGCCAAATTGACGGGCGAGGCCGAGTACTGGCAAGCTGTGGAGAAGGTCATGGAGGTCGTCGACGACCAGAAAATGGAAGATGGTCTGCTTCCGATCTATGTATACCCAGAGACCGGCGAGTTCAAAGGCGACAACATCCGTCTCGGTAGCAGGGGCGACTCATACTACGGTACGGATGCAGATGGCTCCCAGCTGGGATATTCGGGCGACTCGCTGACTTTCGATTGTTTAGAATATCTCATCAAGCAGTACCTTCAGACTCAGGAGCAGGAGCCGGTCTACAAGGAGATGTGGGATGAGTCCCTCGTCGGCGTACGCAAGCACCTGATTACTTACACGCAGAATGCTCAATTGACCGTCTTGGGTGAACGCCCGAGCGGATTGAACGGAGTACTCTCCCCCAAGATGGACCATCTGGTATGCTTCTACCCGGGCACTATCGCTCTCGCAGCGACCGGTGGACGTCCTCTTGCCGAGGCAAGAAAGTCGCCCGACTGGGGGCAGCGCCAGGAGGAAGAGATTCTTCTTGCTCGGGAACTTACCAAGACCTGCTGGGCAACGTACCTGGTTACCAAGTCCGGTCTTGCGCCTGAAATCACCTACTTCAAGGTGGACGATCCCCGTGTGATGGAAACAGATATGTACCCGGACTCAACCATTGCCAAACCCGGCCAAGGCCAGCAATCCCATTCTGGTGAACTCCCTCTGCTCTCCAGATCTCTCTATCCCCTCAACGACTTGACCACGAAATGGCGCGACGACCTCGACATCCACAAACAAGACCGCCACAATCTCCAACGTCCCGAGACGGTCGAATCCCTCTTCTACATGTACCGCATCACCGGAGACGACCTTTACCGCCATTGGGGCTGGGAGATGTTCAAGTCCTTCGTCAAGCATACCGCCGTAGTTGAGGACATTTCCGCCGAGGAAATCCTCCAGGACAATGACGCCAGCACAGACGCCCAGACCGAAGCCCCCAAGAAAATCACCGGGTTCACCTCCCTCTCGAACGCGGACGACATCCCGCCAGTTATGCGGGACAACATGGAGAGTTTCTGGATGGCAGAAACTCTCAAATACTTTTACCTCCTCTTCTCAGATCGGGACTTCATCTCCCTGGAAGAGCACGTGTTCAATACGGAGGCGCATCCCCTCCCCCGGTTCAAGCCGACCGGGGAGTTAAAGACGGGATGGGTGAGAAAGAGTCGGACAAATAGCCAGACAGAGGCGGCAAATGTATAGTTTCCTTTTTTTTTCCCTTCTTGGTCCTAAAAAAATCTCGCTTTATCTACCTAACCTGGTTGGATTTGCAAATTCATATCGAATGTCGCTTGCTTTTCTTTCTTCGTATCTATTTTGCATTGGAGATAGAGTTTCCGACCTGCGTCCCATCCTGGGGCTTATCCGAGGCAGGGACTTGGTTTAATTCCACTACTGGCTACTATGCTTGTTGCTGTGTGATTAGGTCTGTTGGTTGGATGTCGGTATAATATTGTATAGTACACTGCCAACCACATGTCAAGAACATGGTCGTGCTGTCTATCTAAGCCTATAGGGGTAGTCTATATATACAGGTACATGGCGAAGTCAAGCGTTAATTTGATCTCATTATGCATCATGCATCATGGCCAGCTAATTCGCACGAGTCCGCTGAACAGCAGCCTCAATCAACCGCTTATACCCATCGATCGCCTCCTCTAGCTGACCGATGGTGATGGCCTCGTTATCACCGTGCGCGACATGGATACTCCCCGGTCCATACAGATACCGCCTGACGCCCTCCGAGACCTTCAAGTTCGGCACATCGGTCGCATAGTTCACCGTGATAACTTCGAACCCGGACACATCGGTATCCAGGTCCTGAGGAGGATACCCCGCGCTGCGTGCCGTAAAATCGCAGTAGACATGCTCATCGTTGCCGGTGGCATTCTTTACCGCACGCGCGATGATTTCCCGCGCCTCGTCGGGCGTCCCCGACGCCAGACGAATGGCGACCTCTGCAAATGCGGACGCAGGCACCACGTTGGCTGCGACGCCGGCATCCACGCGCCCGATGTTCACGGTGGTACGACCGTACTTGTCGCTGGCGGGGAGACCGCCCTCCTCTGCAGGAATGTTGCCCAGGGTGTCGACACGGGACAACGCGGGCAGGATCGCGGAAATGGCGCTCTGGCCAAGCCATGGGTAGCCCGAGTGAGCAGCTTTGCCTGTCGCGATAAGCGGGAACTCGAGCATGCCTTTGTGGCCGGCGACGAGCGCCAGCTCGGTGGGTTCGCCGAAGATGACGGTGTGAAAGGGGGAGGGGGATGGGTTGAGGGGTGACTCGGAGAAGACGCGCATGCCCAGACCGCCGACTTCTTCGTCAACGACGAAAAGGAGGCCTAGACTAGCGGTTGGGTTAGCGCGGAGAGTGTCGAGGACGGCGAAGATTTGAGCAGCAACACTGGCTTTGGCGTCTACGGTGCCACGGCCCGCGATGAGGATATCCCTGTTGCTGTCGGCATCGTCATGAAGAGAGTAGGGGATGAAGGGGGGCACAGTGTCGATGTGGCTAGTCAAGAGGATTTCAGGCCGATCCTTGGAGGGGGAATCGGATGGGTAGGCGAAGATATTGAAGCGGTTGGTGTTGCCGTGGGAAGACGATGGTACGGGCTGTTTGATGACAGTGAAGTTGTGCGATTCGAGGAAGCCGGCCACAAAGGACCCCACGGCGGACTCGTTGCCCGAGACTGAGGGAATCTGGACAAGGGCGCGGTGGAACGAGAGGAATGGAGAGGCATCAATGATGTCGGATGGGGAGGAGGACAGAGACAAGGGAGTCTGCGGGGGTGCGGCCGAGGCTAAGCCGACGGCTAGGAGGAGGGCGATGGGAGATTTCATGGTTCTGGGAATTAGGGATGGTCGGGTAAGGTCTAATGCATTCCCTGTGGAGGGGGGGAAGGCCAATTGGCTCGACGAAGAGGAATGTTGAGAACGATGGTGGTGGTGCTGGTCTCGAAGGTGAAGCTGTTGATGACTTGAATTGGAGATTGGAGATGGCGCTAGAGCCAAAGGGAAAGTGGTGCCTGAGGGCACAGGCCGTTATCAGCTGGATTGAGACAGTCTGGACCTGCCTGTTCCGGTTAGCGTGGTCGTCACGCCATTCTTGCTTCTTGGATAAATTCCCAGCAGGACGGAGTCATGCATCGCTACTCCGTATCTACTCCGCACATATCCAAACGAACGATCGGAGCATATCCTACCCTATTCCGTATGAAAAACAGCGGTGATCTGACTGGAACCATAGGTAGACCGGTCGATCTACCCAAATACTTAGTACTATGTACTATGTACTACTATGTACAACAAGCCACCGCGCCTACAAGATCATGACGTATAGACTCGGGACTTGGATCGGTCGGATTGACTTCTCCAGTCGGCAGTTTCGACGACGCCATACGGAGTAAAGCCATGGGCTTTCCGGTTTCCAGCCCTCTCCCGATAGATACGTCATTTCACCATGCCGGGGATTTCCCGATGCTTTCGCAGGATTGTTAGACCGATCGTCGTCTATCATCGATTAAGCGAAGGACGGACCTATCTATTAATTATTCTATCGATTGGTCTATCTGGATATCTACTGTAACGAACCGAGAGTCTCTCCCGACCGTCCAGGAGCATGGCATGGCGCCAAGATCCCTTACCGTTGGAGTCATCCGCGGAACAGCGCCGGTCTTCCACCCGTTCGAATGGCATTCTTGATCCTTGAGCCAGTCTGAACCAAGGATGGGGAACCGGAGGTGAGGAGGCAAGGTTCCGGTCGGTTGGCGCTGGGCCATGTGGATCTGACGTCGGCACCAGAAAGGCCAGTCGATAGATTACTACTATGTATCATTTCTACGAGGCCTCAAGGATCACGGAGTAGGTACTGAGTACTAGGTAGATGTCTAGTGCCTCGTGGTTTGTTTCGACAGATAACAAGAATCAGACTACAATCAGTATTGATGATTTGATTTGATCATCTAGTGCCCAGACGGTGTCACCACGACATTCCCAATCCATCTTGTCATCCTCCACGGATAGAGGCACGACAGCCCCGGCCACTGCAAAATATTCCCCCCTGCCGTGCGCCCTTCTGCCCTCTTCCCCCCCCCTCCCCCTTCCTCCCTCCCACCTGCTGTTCCGTCGGGACTGGTCCGATGTCAAAGGTCGTGTGAACGAGGGCGGATGATAGGTCGTCGTACTTTCGGCTGCCCTTCCTGGGTCCCTGATGAGGAATGACGATGAGGATTGGGGGGGTTGCACAGCGCTTCGAAGGCCGAGGAATCCACCAGCCACTGGAGCCCTGTGTGTGTTGGACCAGTCGAGTCGGTCAGAGTCTAGACAACCTCTCTCCAGTCTCCACTGCGCTCGGGGTTCCCTTGTTCGCCCGGCTCCTCTAGCCGTCTCCATTCTTTTCGTTGAGATATGCAGCCGTTGAAACCTATCTGAGGGAACCCTGACACACCCAACCGCATTATTACTTGATCCATCCGGTCTGTTACCGAGCTTCTCACGGATTCCGGTCAGCAGGATTGGCGACTGGCGAGGTGCTCCGGAGTAGTCATTCGACCGCGTGCCTTCTCCGACCCACGATGACCATCGAAGCCCAAAGAACAATTACGATCCATGGCAGAGTAAGAAAGCAGAGCCCGATCCATGGTTTGCTAGCCACGGCCTGGCTGGGTTTGTGGGTGTGAACCCGACGATCTCCCCGACGGTGGTTCACTGGGTAGGAAAGAGTGATGGTTTCAGGCTGTGCGGATGGGAGTCCTCTGCGTCGAATCCCTCCACGAAAAATTTTTTTTTTTTTTTTTTTTCCCCTTTCTTTCTTTCTTTCTTTCTTTTTCCTTTTTCCTTTTTCTTTTTCTTTTTTTTTTTTTTTACTTTTGAAGGGCCCATGAACACTGAACTACTGGACAGCCCTAAACGGGCCTGTCAAGGTGCTGGGTCGGTGGATAGCTCCGATGAAGGGCGAGCCAGTGACGAGGGGCCAAACCATGGCCGATCCAATGGATCGACTGGGGCAAAGGCAGGAAAAAAGATTCATGTCAAAAAAAAAAAAAGAAATGCCGGCCTAATCGGTCAGGTCCCAAGTATCACAAGAGGATTTTCATCTCATCGCGCCGTGTAGGATAACAATCATCACAACAATAGCCATGATAACAAGCCTGGAGCAGCAGCATTCCTGAGTCGACTGTAGGATCTTGCCTGTGTTCCCCATCCATCTTCCATCGCTTCTCCTCTTCTTTCCCCTCCTCTCGCCCCCTCATCATCACCTCCATCCATCATCTCTCTCGTCTCTTTCTTTTTCTCCTCTCCTCTCCTCTCCTCTCCTCATTTCTCCATTCCATCCTTCTTCGTCTCCTTCCTGCCTCCTTCACTCGCAGCCTGTAACCTCACCGCACTGCACCATCCCAACGGCCTCCGATTGACTGCAGCCCACTGAGCTGTCAGCCGTCCTTTGGGCCTCACGAATCCCGGCCAGTTGTTCGGTGACTGCGTCCTCCGACAGGCTCCACGTCTTGCCTGCCTGCCCTACTGACCTGCGCCGACGGGTTCGCCGCCATCTCCTTCCTTCAGGCAGGCCGTACTTCTTCAATCCGGGCCAAGCCTGTCAGTCAGTCAATCAATCTCATCAGTCAGCGTCAGTCAGTCCTTCAGTCCGTCAGTCGCGCTTTCTGCCAGAGCCTGTCGTTGCTGCTGTCACTGCGAGGCGGTTGTTCGCTTCCACCGCCACGCCACGTCGTGTTTACATCGGCCTTGCCTGACAATAAAGACACTGCTCGGGCTCGTGCTGTCTCTTTGGTCCGATCGGTCTTCATTCCTTTTTTTCTCCCTCCCCTCTTTTTCTTTGAACCAACCGCCTTTTCTTGGGAGCTCAAACAAACAAAACGCTGCGCCGGTCTGGGCAATCAATCGATCACCGGATGATGTGCCGTCCGCCTTCAAATTGACTCCATCGCCGCCTCCCCTGCGTTTCGCGTTGTTCCTCCTCACGTCCGTTTCGCCCTGTCCCGGCACGTGAAGTGGAAGCCACTCCATCTGCGCGCCCTCAGTCACCGCCAGCTGGACCTCGCCAGTAGGCCTGTCTCGCCCACCATGTTAAAACCCGCTCAGTTTCTAGATACCAGGCGGCGCGATAGTATTGAAACCATGGCCGAGTCCTCCCCCTCGTCTCGCCTGCCTCCGTCGCCCTGGACCACCGCCTCCTCCACGCCCGTTTCACCCGCCGTGTCTCTCTTTTCCGCCAAGGGCCACACGCGTTTCTCCAGCTCGGTTTCGTCCCTGGTTTCATCCCCAGGACACGGTAATTCCATGGAGAGCTCGTCACGGAATCCCTTGACAGGAGTGAAGGAAGAACCCTGTGGGGCCCAGCCCAGGGATCTCGAGGAGGACTATTTCCGTACGTTCCTACCCTTGCTCCCAGTCCCGTGCCCTTTCTGCTTTATTCTCCGACTTCCTTCGAGAGGTTTTCTAACCAACTCGGCTCCACAGAACACTTTGACCAAGGGTTGTCGGTCGTGGAAGACTCGTATTTTGCTTCTTTTGATGCTTCTGACAGCTACGATCTGACGGATGCCGGTATGGATCTCGCCCATTCGCCCAGGAATCGACGCTCCGATAGTATTTCCGCCCGGGGCCTTTCACGCATCGGCTCCCGCATCTCCACCATCTCCACCCGCTGGAAGTCCAAACGTGCCTCCGATGGCGCAGACAGTACAGATGTATTCACAACGCAGCTGCGTTCCCGCACCAACTCCGCATCATCAGCTCTGGCTAGTCCCACGACGGGCTCCTTCACTCGCGTCAGCTCCATTCAGGTTCCTCCATCCCCGGCCAGAACCATATTTGAGGAGGCCATTTCTGAGACCGGCACGCAACCCATTGACATCGTCAAAGCCAACCAGCACAGCCAGGATGACTCGGCCCCTCATGCGACAACCCCGCTGCTGCCGCCTTTTATGGGCGACCAGCCCTCATACCCGACCGCGTCCCGCGTCCATTCGCCATTGCAATCGCCGTCCGTAGCCGATATGACGGATGACGGCCCGATTGTCTGCAGCGCCATCACAGATCTACGATTGGCGGGCTTGCCCTCGCCACCATTGTCCTCCAAGCCGTCCGTCGCGTCGTTCAACCGCCCGCGAGCCAGCACCGTGCGGACGGTTTCAGGTGATGCCCCTCCCTTCACACTGTCGGATCCAAATGACGAGTGGGCGAATAAGCTGGGCCATGCCAACTTTACTATTCAGCCCGAGCCGTATGTGCCGGGGATTTGCGACCTGGTGTCGTTTCGGCAGTTGCGCACCGACTGGGACCTTGCTCAGTGCAACTTCACTCGGCATCTCGTTCGGACCGGTGAACATTATGGGGTTACCTCCATGATCTACAGGCTCACGGAGGAGAAGTGGGAGTTTATCAACCGCGAGTGGCGACGCCATCACGAAGCAATGCTGTCCGAGTTGGAGGTGACGGAAGGACCGCGGTTGAGTTTGATGAAATCCCACTGTTATCCCTGCGACCCGGTCAAGATCCCACGCCTTCACGATGACAAATTTCCCGAGCTGGGCGATGGGGAGATCGTGGGTCCAATGAAGATCGCCCCTGCCGCGAATGGATCTGGACTATGTCACAGCCGCTCGTTGAAGCGCAACTTTGTCAAGTTCTTCCAGGATCTCGTGATACGATCCTGATTCCTCCCATGCCACCAATCTGGGAACACCTACTTATGACGATAGACCAACCATCGGAGGCTCACGATGTACAACATCTTATGATTTCTACGCCTCTCGAACGATTGATTCAGCGTGTGACGACTTATGCCTCTCCTACAGTTTACATGTCTTGACGGTTATTTTTTCCTGTTTATGATCTGTGATCGAATAATGATGACTGATGTCCTTTGCACCTGCGACTACTGACTCGCAGCGTGCAGTCCGTTCCTTAATGTTTGATTCCATTTACATATGTTCCCGCTTCCCCTTTCTGTTACATGATTCTTCGCGCCCACATGTATTGATAATGCTGTACACTGCCCAGCATTTTCTTTGTGTTCTCTCTTCCAGCGATGTAATCCTTGAGTCATGGTCCTTGGCGGACGCGCGTCGAAGGACTGGAGAGAGAGTGTGTGCGTATGTGTGGATTTACGACAGGGGGAGAAAGGGGCATAAGGCAGACGAGTTATGAAAGAAAGAGCGAAAAAGTGGCTGGGCTGCCAAGCGAAAAGAAAAGAGACCATTGCGAGGGCGCTACTGGTGTTCCGTTCTGTCTTATACCCCAAGGCATGATTCATCATCTTACTGAATTTTATGGCCCATTGTACCTCATACATTGAAGTGTTGATGCCTTCGCAAAAGCGTTCTCTATATGCCTCTTCTGATTTGTACATGTGTATATAGATAGATACTAGACCTACCTTCCTACCCACACGCTTACCCGGCACCTCCAAGGTTATTATGGTTACCACCCTTGCTGCCCACATGCATATGCAGTGTACTTTTGTGCTCAACTCCAGTTACCCATCCCAAGGGTCAGGTCAGACAAGTTGCCTGATGCATGCGTGGGAAAGTTCCATCTTCGGTATCATCTCTTTTGACAAATCCAGTAATCCGGACCGCGCATCCTCAACCAGCAGATCCATCTTTTCATTAGCCGCCAGCCAGCCAGCCAGTCTCTGCAGATGAACCCATAATTGACTACTTAGGCAGCAAGCAAGTAGTCCCTATCATGACTCGTGCGAACTTGCCTCCCCACTCCTTTGCCCCCTCCAATCTCATACCCAGTACTGTCCCCACAGTCGTTTGGCGTCCTGGTCTCCGCGGAACTGGAAGTCGACTCGGATGATATCCTTGAAGCCTTCGTCTATGGAGGGCTCCTTGAACCGGCGCAGGAAATCCCCGAATGCGATTCCAGGAAGGAGGGTTCTGGATTCGGGGTTCTGAAAAGGTGGGGGTGGTTAGTATAGGTCTGTGGCGAGAAGGTATGATAGTCGTGATTACACGTGTGACGTCGGGTGATCGGCGGAGGGTGGGATAGTATAACCTCGAGGGGAAGAACAGGGCAGGTGGACACGAAGCTGCGATGAACGGGTGGAAGGACAAGGGATGTAGTGCACACATGATGCGCGCGCGGCAACACGCACGGACTTACCAGGGTTTTGTTTGCGGCACGGACCGCATTATTATGCCGGCAGAGGGACGGGGAAGCACTGAAGTAGACACAGCGGATCGGGACGTGGAATTCCGTTGCGACTTCGACCCAGTGAGCTCTGGTTTCGGGGTCCGCGTTGGTGTTGTCTGTGCGGATGGGAAGGGATCAGCAATCTAATCGAGGGTTTGGCATCTGAGGGCTCTGGGGAGGGGGGATGGATTGTAATGTGGGCTAGGGTGGGAGTGGTCTGGACTTGGATCCGGGAAAGGGGACGTTGTAAAACGTCGGAGTAATATGCAAGGGTTGTCTCTTTGGGAAAAGGATGCCCGTTCGCGTACCGACAACCACGGATCTTCCGGCTGCAAGGTGTTCCTTGGCCACTTTGATGCATTTAGGGCGCTGTTGTAATCGGCTGGTTAGTCTTGCGATACTCGAATGTGGGTATAAGGGACGCCCCCTGCCATCCTTGGGCTTGGCAATGAAAGGCACGAGGTCCGCATGGGACGGTGAATGTAATGACCAGGAAGACTTACCGTCTTGAGAAGGTCCTGGTTGACTCGCTCGTAGTCCAGCGGTTCCAGGTAGTCCCAGTAGAACGATGACTTGCCGGCTCCAGGACTGCCGCAGAATATCACCAGCTCAAGAGGGCTCTGGCGGGAGAAGGGCGGAGCCACTACATCATTCAGGACCGGTTATTAATAGGCTACTCTTATGACCGATTCGCAATCACACCGTGCAATGAGACTCACCATCGTCGCTAGACTCTGCTTGCAGGTATAGACTCGGGTCGAACGGTTCCACGAGTGGCTCTGGGTCAGCGTTGAGAAAGAATTCCTCGGGTGTCTTGAATGGTACTTTGATGTTAATAGCAAATCCACTTGCACCAGAGTTAGCGTATGAATCCCGCGATTCTACGTATCGTGACGTGGCCAGCCTTACCGGTCTACATGGGAATGGTCGTTCGGTCGTCCAGCGGCGTCCCCAACGAATATGGACTCAGACAGATTGACTCCTGCCACATCAAAATCGTAGTCGTCTAGCATTTCATCCCATAATCCTGTTCTCGGTTTCCTGTATTCATCGTCTTCTGTGGCCGCGTAGACACTCAAAGGGATGTCAAGTTGCTTCATGACGGCCATCACTCTCTCCTTGAAGTTGGTAAGGCTCTTTGAGTCACTTGAGCCCCCTTTGAGGTCTTTTTTGAGACTGATCTTCTTCTGATTCGTGACGACCACCACGTAGTAGCTGCAAAGATGGGATTCCATCAATACCTAGTCGTCCGGCCGGTCACATCATGAATGAGATATAGTTACATACCCATTCTCGTTCAACTCCTTGAGCTTCGATGGCACCGTAGCATGCCACCACTTCCAGTCGGAAGAGTTCCTAGGGAATGTATTTCCGGAGGCTGTCGAGACGAGCGTCGAATCCTAGGTGCGAACACCCAGTCAGCCTCGAGCTCGTGATTAAGGACGTCGTAGACCTCGCTTTGCCGTCCTTTCCTCCACTCACCAGGTCAAATGCAGCAATCCTGGGCTTCTCTGTGCTTTGTTTGTGACCCGATTCTGAAATATACTTGCCAATGACAGCACTGTTGTTGATAACCCGCCAGGTGATCTGTTCGGGCTTCTTCTGAGACACCGGAGTAAAGAAGGAGGAGAGAGCCTTTTCTGAGTACTTATAAGTTTTCTAGCATCAAATGAAGGGACGATGATATAGGAATGTCTCACTAGTGACAGTAGACTCGATCTTCCTCTTGAGTGGGGGCGGCGATATAGGCCTAGTGGGGGACGCCGTGCGTTTCGTGCCCCCGGCGCCGGCCATCCTGAGATACTGGAGTCTGGAGAAAATTTTGCAGGTACCCGCGGGGTGCCGATTGCCTCGAAAGTAGCTTGGAAAGGGAATTTGCTGCGATGGAGTGGCCAGGGTGACTCGGGATTCGAGAGCGGAAGTCGACGCGCCGACGCGCATCTCGACCTTCGCGAAGTCACATGCTTAAATGGGCGTTTTGTCGCTCATGGTGGATAGAATAGAGAACTGCAGCATCAGGATCCAGCTATACCATTTTTGAGCTCTGGCTTGCTTCTCAGATAAGAACTACTAGTTTCTTTTATAATAGGCTCCTTGAAACATATTTGGGATTTCGAAATGATCATCTACTGAGAGCCATATGCTCCGGGGTATATAGCAATGCTAAAGAGAAGTGCAATGTTGCATCATTACTTCGCTCGGGTGTCAAGAGACAGTCGGTCGGCCTGTTCCAGACGAACGGCTGACTTGAGCTGCTCGCGAAGCCCGAACAAGTGCTGCGAAGCCGTCCTCATCATCTCCTGATTTCCACCATCCTGGACAGTGATAGCGGCCTGCAGGACATAGCTCCCGGTCCGTTCCAGCGGTGAGAGCTCCCGATAAGCAGGCAGCTGCCGTCGAGGTCCATGTGACTCCTGCGCCCCAGTCGGGTAGAGCAGGACACGGTGTAGGAAGATAACGATGTCATTAAGGACAAAAACATCGCCCTCCACCACATACTCGGTGATAAAGCTGGTCCCAAATTGTCAACTTACTGGACTCGATTGAGACCCGGAAGGACGATCCATCGATGGGTACGGGATGCTACTAACCTGTAACCCCAGGCATTCATGGGAGACGTGATATCACCTTTGGGTAGAGTTGCACTAGCCATCAGCCGAGCAGTTACCGCGGATCGGGTGCCAGCCTCGGGGATGTCTCTGAATTCGAGTTTCCAAGGCTGGTCCTCGTAGCTGTATGGCGGCGATGACTGATCCTCCAACCCGGATATGGAGACATGTGCATCTCCGGACGAAGAAGGCTTCGCGCCAAAATCGGTCTCGGCCACGGGCCCGACCACTTGCGTGTAGAACATGCCTCCATTGAGCATTTTATTCAGGCGCTGCAATTCGAGACCCTGCAGATCTTGACTGGCCCCAACCCGGGTGTTCATCAAGCCTGGCTTGCGGTAGGCCTTGAAGATTAAACGCCTTTCCAAGCGGTGACGGGGTTGCATGGCCGTCAACCCGGCCAGCTGTTGGAGAAGCTCATGATGCTGGTGAGCGGGGACCGAGGCGAAGAGCAAAAGCTCATGCATAATCACAGGAGAGGGAACCGGGGTGGGAGTCGAGACGAATAAGAATAGATATCAGGGACGTTCGAGCCTGACTGTAGCGAGCTAGCTCCGTTCAGCTGAGAGGAACACACGGAAAGGCTAGGTAAGGCACGGGTGAAGCCGGGTCGGAGACTGGCTCCGAGTGTCCACTCTGCTCCGGCCGGTATCACCGTACGGTATGGTAACGGGCGGAAAACGCGTGGGGAGAAACAGAATGAATGCCGCGATAACAATCATGTGATATCACGCGATCGGAGAGGCAGCCAAGAACCAGGGTTTGGAGGGGGGGCAAACTCCAGAAGGGAAGAGGAAAAAGTCAAACCAGAAAAAGTCAACCACAAAGACTAAACTCTATCCCGATAAGCTTGATTCCAACACTTCCTGATTGGGGTGATCTCTGTCTACTATAGGCCTGCCAAGAGAGGGAGGGAAAAAGAAAGCGCCCTTGGAAGCTGCGGGGACCGAATTCCGGAGGGACGTAGGGACGTAGGGACGTAAGTACTACGTACTCCGTATGTTTGAGGCAGATCACGCCAGGCTGCTTCGTACGCTCAGGCGACAGAGATAAGAGGTGTTACACCGGTGTCATGGACACAACGTCTTCCGGAAAATGCTACGAATGAGGGGAGAGGGGAAGGGCTGCAGTGACCGCACCGGGACGAAGGCGATTAGAGGGCACCACCGACGCAGGTCCCCCCAGCTTATCCAGCACACTGGCCAGTCAGGCACGGGTCTCCTTCACCGGGAATGCGGGTTTGGGCAAGGATCGGGTCTTCGCCAGGTGTCAATCCCTCTATCTGATTTGGAGAAGATGGGGAAGAGAGGTGTGGCTATCGAATTGGAGATCGGCTAGTCATCCAACTGGTCTGATCATGCCACAAAAGTCCAGAAGCGCAGGTAATCATCCCACAGATGGTCTCTCCTTCTGGGCGTTTTGGTACGTAAAGCCAGCTCGGGCCATTGATTCCGGCGGCGGGTTCTCGTTAATAACCCGTATTACTCCATACCACCAGGTGCTTATCAAAACCCACACCCTCGCTTCCGCTCCGACCGACCCTCGTCGGCTTTTTCCTCTCCTCCTCCTCTTCCTCCCCTCCTTTCCCTCTCAGTCTTCCAGCCTGTCCTTCAGTCCAGACAGCTTTCTGTACAGTCGTTGCTTCCTTCCTTTTCAATATATAGGCTTCTTGAGTCCCGTGCCGTGGAGAATTGTTTGCCTACAAGCTTCCTTTTCCTCTACTTCGCTTACCAACCTCATTAATCGCCCAACTCGGTCGCGTCGGACATCTACGGATTGTTCGAATTCCTCTCGCCCTCGATCCTCACCATCGTCTTATAATCTATAACCCCATCACCCTTACCACAACCATTCAAAATGCGTGCCACCTTTGCTCTGCGTAACGCTGCCCGCACCCCCCTCATCCGGTTCATCGGCCGCCGTTCCGTGCCCCGTATGTATCTTACCCCGTGCATCATCGCCAGATCCTTTGTCTAACATGACCATCTCTAGAGTCCATTGACCACACTCCTCGCCCTCACCCCGCCTCTCCCTCCGGAGTCCTCCCGGACTCCTTCGCCGCCTACCGTTCCAAGGCTCAGCAGCACGGGCCTCTTGGCCGTGCCTCTTTCTCTCAGGGCATTGGTCGCAGCTCGGGTGCCTCTCTGGGCCCCGTTCAGCCCAAGCAGGGCGAGTTCTTCGACCGTGACGAGCTCCCTTCTCGATTCCACCGCCTCCCCTGGTCCGAGGCCGAGATTGAGGCCATTGAGACCGGTGGTGCCAGCCTGTGCGCTTAGATCCCTAAAGGTGTTGCTCAACGAGGGACGACTCAACGATAGCGGTCACGGATTTGGCGATTCACGAGTACTATCATGTTAAGATAGCATACGATCATTGGCTTGGGGCTGTGGCGTCCGTTATTCTCCGAGTTCAACCATGGAGTAGCGGGGGAGTTGTGGGGCCCGGTTCGTCTCGCACCATCTGAACTTGAATGGTACATAATCCAGGTCGGAAGCACCGTCGCATACTGGTGATGGGTCGTTTGTTGGTTTTTGTCCAACCAGGAGCTGCTTCCGTCCTTGCTCTTCTTATATTTCCTTACTGTTTCTCTATTTGGACATGGCGCTGGTGGTTACTTTGGTGTTTAGCGGTTTAGATGTTTTATATTTGGGGCGCGACACATGATGGATACTTTCTTGTTGTCTGGCTGGAGCATGATGAGATCTGCGAAGATTTTCGTGCATAGATGTTTGATTCAAAAGTCTGCTGAATGCTGGACTACCCTTGGCTTGTGGGTGCATTGTTTTTTTCCCATGGTTCCTTGTTTTGTACTGGAACTCGAGGAGACCTTGAATCGAATCAATCGGGGTTGACCGAAGACATGCTTGGTAAATTTGAATTGCCGTATATATGGGGCGTAGCGTATTGTATCTACTACTTTTGTAGACGGCCATTCCAAGGTCCCCCGGATTGTAGCTGACACGTGCCCGCGGCCTTAGCGTCAACTCTGGCCACGCAACGGCCATCTCCTTCCACCCATCAACATCGTCCTCATTTCAACAAGAGGGCTATTGGCAGGGCCGAAGGTCCCGCGTCAGAGCATGGCACTCACTGGGGACAGCGCCGCAATCACCTTCACCGAGGTCGATGAGGTTAACCATCCTACGGCCACCTATATCTACTCTGAGCCCGCAGCGGACAGTGCACATCATCTTACCCATGACAAGAAGCATGGCGGGGGTTGGGGCCGCGTGGACGTAGCGGTAAGTGACAAGTCCCGCATGTGCCAATTGCATGCACAAGATTATACTGGCATGGCTGGTAGCTAAGCAGTACTGTTCCAGCATACTCCTCCCTCCAGCACCCCGACATCTTGGTCTTCAAAGACCCTTCTAGACTTCCTGGTCGACGTCTTCCTCCCTGCCGGGTATCCCCACAGTGTCACGAACGATTATGCGCCGTAAGCTACTGCTCAACTACTTCCCTAGCGTTAAGCTTTACTAAGGCATGCAGGTATCAATTCTTTGTATGTTGAATGCATGAAGCACGTCATCCCACAGAATCATCGGTCCCCTTATACCTTAACTATACCGTGATAATCAGCTAACTCACGAAGGACTCCCTCCAAGCTTTCAGCAGCTCCATTGCCGGTCTCTTATCGTCAAGAGCCGTACTGCAAGGTTGGTAGATACTCTATGTTCCCCAAACAGCTTCATCCGCAGGATATCCAGATTAACACCCCTTAGGCGTTGGAGTCGGTAACGCCGAAGCCTCTCCAACCTCTGCCCTCCTGCTGCATATTCTCCAAGATACGTCTGGCCGGATTGCCACGATTCTCTTCGCGCACCGGGTCGGCACCGCTCTTGAGCCGGAATGCAAGATGTACCGACTTGCAGCGGATGTCTTCAACGACCTGGCAATGATCCTGGACTGTTTGTCGCCCATGATCCCAGCAGGAGCTCCCCGAGTCATCGTACTTAGCACAGCCGGTGTCCTGCGAGCTCTATGCGGAGTAGCTGGGGGAAGTTCCAAAGCGAGTCTAAGTGCGCATTTCTCTCGATGGGGAAACCTCGCTGAGGTCAATGCCGTAAGTGGATGATCATCCCACCCTACGCTTAGGAGGCTAATCTCATATCAACAGAAAGATTCATCACAAGAGACCATCATATCGCTGATTGGAATGCTCGTAAGTCAAGTGCTCACTCTTCACAACCAATACACGGAAGTAACTCGCCAAAACCACAGGTTGGCTCAGTCGTCGTCTCCCATGTTACCAGTTTCGCCGCGACCTGGATCACCCTGCTAATGCTCCTCGCCCTACACCTCAGTCTCAACTACGCAGCCGTCCGCTCTGTCCAAATGACCAGTCTTAACAGACAGCGAGCTAACATCGTCTTTTCAACCATCCTAAGCTCCGACCAAGAGCTCACCCATCTCACTCTTCCCGAGTCCACCAAACAACCACCTACGCAAAGTCACCCTCAATTAGCCTGGAAGACTCTAAGCCCAGCCCAAGTCGCCAAACAAGAAAAGATTTTTGAACGCGATGGCATTCTCCGCTGGTCCCCAGCACCTACTACCACATCCGCCCCCTCTTCCCAAGTACTAGGTTATTGCCGTATAGGCATATCCCTCCAACATTTCCTCATTTCCTGCCCCTCCTTCCCCTTATCGGTCAGTACAGGAACCCTTCGAACCGCTATCCCCCTCGCTCATCTCACGGCCCTCTACAACAAAGAGGACTACATCCTGTACCTCACCAACAGCGGGAAATCCCGTACCTGGCATGCAAACATCCTTCTCAAGAACACTAGTACAGCCCAATCCCAGCTCAAGTCCTGGGCGCATGCCTTGCTGGCTACAAGGGTCCTGTCGATGCCAACCTCAGACAATGTCGAGGTCGAGGGTATTATGGACGTTCTGAACCGGACGTTGGATTTCCTGAATAATGATGAGAGATTTGTTCGGTATGTTACTGCATTGACTGAGAAAGGCTGGGACTTGAATGTTGCTGCTTTGGAGACTCGATCTGGACGGAGGATTGCCGTGTAACTCTTTTCCCCCACTCCTCTCCCAGATGGGTTGAGGGTGGGTGTTGGTGATTTACTGCATAATCTGGTGCAGCTGTGGACCAGCTCATGGTCCAGTGTTTTTGGATAATGTATAACAAGCGGGCTTGCAGGTTCAGTCATTCCTGTTCAACAGAACTGGTCGAGGTTAAAGAATCAGGTTTTGACTTCAAGCTGTCCTGACAGACGAATGGGATGTTCTACGCTTAAGCTCTGCAGGAAGATTGGCAAGCATCCAAACCATGGGTATCTATTGACCGGTACACGATGCCAATGCTAATGCTAATGCGATGCTAACTAAAACATGGTGAGAAGAAACTGGGTAGTATATGCCATCCCAGAATGCAATCATAGTCATAACATGAGAAGAGAAAAAAAAAATGGAGGGAAAAATCCCCATGCACATCAACAGAATGCCACACCACCTCCCCGATCGAAACATGATTATGGATACACCAACGCCGTGATGAACAGCCTCCCAACCACCCCGTTTTGAACCCAGTCTATGTTTTGTGATGACAAATGGAATGATGCACGCTTGGTCGCTTGCTCCGAGAAAAAGAGGATAGGATAAAAAAAGAAAAAAAAAATAGAACGCCGGTATATGCTTCCACCGTAAAGAGTAAATCAGAATGCACATGCATTACACCGTTCACTCGTATCCAATGCGTGAATGCGACATATTCGCTCAATAACCGAAAGATCAATCATATATGCGGTATCAGATATGCAGATCCGATCATGCGGCCTAGCCGGTGGTGAGAGGAGTAGGATCAGAACGCCAATTTCGGCTGCCCTGTGAGGATAGAAAGTGAGGAAGGTTTGTGAATGAGAAGGGAAATCAGAGTTTGAATGCTCTGCCAGAGAGGGTCTGGTTTCGCTGGTGAGATGGCTGTTTGCCGACTGGGAACGGCCAGTCATTCATCCATACCAGACAATCTGAATTGTTGATTTCCTGAACCTCCATGTCCCGAGCGCTTCTTGAATCCCAACTTCAGCCCCATCTTCTTCCATGGGTTGTCGGTGCGCTTCGGGCTGTGGGCCAGGTGCATGCAGTGGGGATCGCTGGAAGGCGGCGTTGTCGGCGGCGTCATCGGCTCACCAGCGCTCGCACTTGACTGCAAGCTTCCGGAGTCATCGGTCAAAGCTCCCGACCCAGAATCTCCGCTGGTGCTAGAGACTTGACCTGAGGTCCGATGGCCCACCTTTCCCATAGAAGTCATGGCGCTCAATGAGAAATTGGAGCGGCCGGAGTGGCTAGACGGAGAACCGACGGACACCGGGGATCCCATATCTTTGGAAGACTGGGGCGACTGCCGCCTCCGCTTTGACCGACCGCGGTTGGCTGCATGTTCGTCGAGACTCGAGTTCGAAATGACCGTGATATCGTCCTCGTGTGAGAATAACGGCTCCGATAAGGGCAGCACGTGGGCGGTCGAGGCATGGGCGTTGAGGAATGGCAGAAAGATCGATTCTTCCATCAAGTCGTGGACGAGTTTGACAGCAGTGTTCAGGCAATCAGGAGGAGGGGGGATGGGAAAGTTTGTGTGTCGAAGAATATCATCGCGGACCTCGCTGGAGACATTGATCTCACGCGGCGATCCGGGCAAGATGTACGCAGTCAACAATCGCTGCCAGAGCATTTGCAGATGCTGGCTTTCGGGGCGGTCGGAGACGATAGGCAATTCGTTCATCTGGCGGCTCAGGGCATCGTAGGTCTCCCGGTACCGCTTGGCCTCGAGGGTGAACTCCAGGGTCTCCAGACAATGATTCTGTGAGAGATAAGCCATGAAGGCGCTGAGGGTGTAGGGTGCAGGTGCAGTGTTCGCAAGCACCTCGTCTAGCGAGGGTCGCATGGAACAAAATGCACCCGGAACTGTCAGGCTCAACGGACGCGAACCGGAGGAGTCCATGTCCTCGTCCGACTCGCTGTCCGATGAGGATGTCGTGGGAGAGAGCTCAGGCGTTGTGCTGGGAGTATGATGTCGAAAGAGTATAGGAGGATGTAAGGTCTTCTTTTTGAGCATCGCGTACAGCGTGCGTCGGTCACTGGGATACGGCGCGGGTGTGGTGAAGCCCCTGGGACCTCGTCGAAATCCTCCAAGACACCCCAGACAGTAGGAACAATGTTTCGCCAGGGTCGACTCTGATGCCCTAGCAGGGTCCGACCAGCACGACGAGTAATGATGGCTGAGGAGAAGCCGTGTTTCAGATTGGGAGAAGCGTAACGAGAGACAGCGCAGAGGTGAGGCGGCACTGAGCGGGGAAAGATTCAGGCGAGGCGGGAATGGAGCAGTCGATAAGGTGAAGGATCTCAGTTGGTGAAGGATTGAGATCTATCTGCTTGCTGGGTGGACAAAGGATTGATTAGTCGATGTCCCGCGGTAAGGCAAGGGTATAGGCAGCAGCAGCGGGTTTCCAGAAGGGTCAAAGAAGACGGGGGGGGGGGGTGAGAGCCAAATGGAAATTTGGGAAAAAGTAAAAAATGGTTAATAAGAGACAAGACTAAGGCCAGGCACAGCAGCAGAAAATAAAAAAAAATAAGTAAAAAAACTATAAAAAAAAAAGAAAGGATAGAGCCGTGTGTGTACAGGTTAAATGACGCCACGGAAGGACAAGACAAATGGCAGACTGGGGTGGATAGTATTCAAATAGAGAGGAAACAAGGCAGGCCGGCCAGTGGGTGGAGTGGTGATGCCGATCAGGACCCCTTCACAGGCAGATTTCTCAAAACCTGCACGGAAGCGTCGAGCACCCGGGGGGAGGGGATGCGAATGGGACCTAAACCTCAATTGAAGGGAAAAGGCAGGAGGGAGGAGCCTGGGAGGAGGAGGGGGGGGAGTGGTGGGCCGTGGAAAAAGGTGTGGATTGGTGTGGATTGCTGGCCCACAGGCACAACCGGCGGCCCAAGATTTACTCACACGCGCCGACCGGACCAGCAGAGCCAGTCCAGAGCGCTTCCACGTTGGCTGGCAGTGGATGCTCTGGGTGGCCGAAGGAGTCGACCCAAGGGACCGTCGCCTGCCCACCACGAATCACCGCCAACGAGACTTCCCGGTCGATCGTACCCAGCAAGAGCCGCGACCTATCAAACCAGCCTTGGTGGGGTCCAGGAAGCCACTCAGAGGCGGCGGTGGATAAAACCACCCCCCCCCCAAAAAAAAGAAGAAAAGGAAAAGTGTCACGGGAGGAGGGGCGTTCCTTTGTTTGTTCTTTCCCGTTTCTTCTTTTTCCTTTTCCTTTCTTTTCTTTTCTTCTGGAACGGAAGACGAAAATCGAAGGTCGAAAATAGGGCAAAGGAAGAAAAAGGGGGAGAGAGGAAGACCGAGCCCAGGAGGAAAAGGATTCCACTGAGAGAGAACGGCCGCCGACAGACTTTCTAGAAGGACTACGCAGCTAGATACCCTCCTTCCCTTCTCCCAGCCAGTGAGGGAATCACGTCATGGCCCCTAAGGCATGCCTCAGACACTAGCCAGTAAGTCTGTGAGTGACTTGCAAAGTTGCAACCCAAAAAGGATCTGGAAGCCTCGGGGTGGAGACAATGAAGGGAAATCGGGTTCCGTCGCTGGGTCTGAATGGATCACCAGGACGCGCGATGGATCTCCGCCGATGAAGTAATCTCAAGTCCCAAAAGGTAGAGGAGTGGAGCCATCCATAGAAACGCAGTAGCGTTGGGTGACTGGGTCGCTCGTCGTCGTCAGGTCGTGGTAATTGTGCTGCTGCCGTCGCCCCTGCGAGTCGGCGTTGTCCAGGAGGGGGTGGAAAATAAAACCGGCCGTTGTGGAGCCGGGCGCTTGTTTCTCTCTCTTTGAATGACTCGGGAGCCCGTCTGCCTTGGCTTTGTAGTTTGTGCACTGCTAACCCACGACGGATGCCATCATTGCCCAGATGGTGTTGTCGAGGCCGGTCGATCGATCGATCGACCCTCAATCAATATCCGTCATGGATTGCAGTTGAAACAACCGAGTGGAGCGGGTGAAAATATGACAATTGACAAGGGCAACAGCAACAACAACACAACAAAATGTCGGACGCAAGAGGGAGGAGGGCAAAAAAGGAAAGATGAAAAAAAAAAAAAAAAAAAGGAAAAAGAAAAAGCATTAATGGAGAGGCCGAAGGCGCTCACTCACCATGCGTCAATTGAATGCGACGTCCCGTAACAGAATATCCGTAGAAGGTGACCGGCAGCAAGGGGCGGTCGCCAAAACGCGCGTTCAACGCCAATATGACCCAACGGTGCAGCAGAAACGAGGATAAATCGCTCAGGGCTGAAAAAAAGATGATATATAGCGGAGCTTATGTCGATTGCAGGCAGGCGTAGCTTTATGTATGTATGTAGGATGGTATGTACCTCTCTCTGTATGTCTGCGGTAATTGACGCTGGTACAGGACAGGTGGTGATTCCAGCGAGGAAGGAGGATCAAGTAAAATTAGAAATCGAAAAGCAAAACCCATTAGACGCCCAGGAACTGGATCTCATGCAGCTTTTTGTATGAAGGCGGCGTCAGAGTTCAATGCACAGCTCTGCTCCAGGTGATTGCCTGATGCGGTTTGGGGTGGCAACCAGGCTCGTATGCGCCAGTTCTGGACTCAAGAAGGGATTCTACTAAGAACTTGGCTACGGAGTACCTGTACCTGACCTTCCCGGTCACCGTAGCAGGTCGTGGATGTACCATGACAACGCAAGATGGATCGCATCGACGCCCTGCCAATGCCTGCTCTTTGGAATACATTAGCCCAGCCCCGATGTGTTGTCGCATCCACCAGACACATGGCTAGAAGAACCTTGCCCGCTACACCGGAATGGCAACACAAAGAACCCCCTCCCTGGTCCGTTCGGAGTCCTCCGGGCATTGTCCCAACTACCCCCGGCCCCTGTCGACCACGACTCTTCATGGATGCCGCCCCCGATACGATACGGAGTCCCAACTGTACCAATCCGGAGTCGGAGAACAAGTCTCCGGCCAGCCCCTCGACTGGCAGTAATAATGAACTGATTCAAGGCGCACGACGGCCTGACGGTGGTCGTGCAGAGCGGCCACCCCGCATTGATTGGCCAAGCTGACGCAGGATCTACAGGATGCCAAGCAGGCTGTGCAGCCCGAGGTAAGGGGGGGGAGGGGGAAAGGGATACATTCGTGAAGGGGGGGAAATGTCCTTCACAGTAGACAGAGCTTGTAAGTCCGGAGTTAGTACAGGAAAGTTCGAACCTCTTGAACAGGACGGAGCCCTGTTCGAACGATTTCGAACCTAGCTGCAGCGAGCATGCCGGGGTGTGGGTGAGCAGTTATCGCCGGTCGGGCCAATTCCAGACACCTATCTACCATCTACTGTGCAGGCTTGCAGTAGTAGTGGTGGGTGGATCTGCAAGCCGATGGGGTGTGCAGACAAAGAAACTCCAGCATCGCTATCGAGTCCTGGGCCGAGCAAGACGCAAGTTAGCAACAACACTAGTACTGTTGTCGCGGAGTCAATCGCGGAGTCAAGCTGCTTGGGTTATGGGGTAGTAGCGCCGTACTACGCTGGAATAGTGATAGCATGATAGCATAGTAATTTGTACTAGTGGTGGTCGACCATCGTGCTAACCGCCATCAGCAATTCAGCATTTAGCGCCAACTCCAATTATTACCCAGGAGGGTGTCAAACCCCATCCACCCCCATCTGTAACGTCCAATCCTGGGGGCGGAACTGCTTGACGGCGTGGTATCACCAGTCTCGACCCTTGTCTGGACTCTAGAGGTAGATAGCTGCCCTCCTTAAACACGTCTGCAAGGGCCTGCAGACATGCAGAATGGGCGTATGTGTCACCGTGGAATTTGAGGGGAGCACATCCTCCATCGTGGTCGCGGGTTGAGTGCCCGATTCGGCTATGATTCATCGTCGCAGCCGTTGTCGGGAGACCAGCCGACAAAGAAATTTAGACTTGAATTTTCTTACATTTTCCAGAACACGAAGGAAGGCGCAAAGAAATTTCGAGGAATGCGGGTTTGCCCCGGTCGCGACTCGGCGAACAGTAAGGGAGACCAGCCCAACCCTTGCGACGTCCACTAATGAGATGGCACTGGGGGCTTTTCGGCCCGCCCGTAACACTGTCGGAGTGGCCAGTCAGTAGCCACGCCCAGGGAACGGTGGCTACTAAGTAGGTGGGCCAGAAAGCAGAAAGCAACAAGCAAGAGGGTGTGTGGCATTAGCGCCGGTTGAACTTGTTCCCACCGAAATCCAGCCAGCCCCGAGGGTCATCACGGCGCCACGGATTGGTCACGGTGGTACCACCTCACCCCACACATACACACACGCACAACCAACCTCGCATTGAGAGGGGCATGGATGGGCCAATCCCGGAGGAAATCGATGAGCAACGTGATTCCTCTTTAGGCCTGGCGCCTGGAATGCCGTGCTCACGAGGTGCAATGCCTTTCTTTATCTGGTGGACATGGGCATGGACCGCCGAGAAGCTTGTTAGCGGCAGTGGAGATGGCCCTCGGGGCGTCTTGCAACACCTTGGCGCGCGAATGGAGTGTGGCTCTGCTCTCCTTCGCTTTACTATGTTAGGCAAGTCCCCTCTGACCTGCAGGTACTGTTCAAAAGTCATCATAGTACGGAGTACTACTGCTCTAGGTGCTCCGTATATTGATCTGTTACCTAGCGTTTAGGTGTCATCCAGAGTGGCGTCGGGGTCACTTCATTGAATTTTCCCCTACGTTCTAGAATGACATAGACAGTTAGATTGGCCTGCAGGACGGATTGCGTGGATCGGATGTTGTCGTGCTACCACTCGGTCCAACTCAGACTACGTCAGCGCGAGACAGAAGCCATACAGAAGGTTCCATGGAGTGGCACGGCAGGCGAAGACTCGAGGGGCGCACAAGATCTACGCCTCCCTTGATATCGCCATCATCCAACCTCCTAGCTTATAATTCTATACGGGTGCAGAGACAGAGGGATTTGAAGCTACCATCCAGCGTTCAACAAGCCACACCCTAATAACGTCATGCGCCTGCTGTGCGATGCCCGTTTGCAGATCATTAAGCATCTCATCGGCCACCAGGGTCGAGTGACACCGAGATACGACATAGACTCGGGTCCTGGTAACCTTACTGCCTACGGAGATCGTGCTGGAGCATCTCGAACCCATCGAGGGGCAGTCATGCCTGAGTCATGTTGACTAATTGGCTTTCTTATCAACTTCCATTGCCTGTCTCCATGTGCCACGGCGCAATGCAGGCAGGGCCAGCCACATCAACTAATCAAATGACGACCAGGCTGTCAGTCGTTGACGCAGACAATTTTTTTTTTTTTTTTTCGGTGGATTCTAGACTGATCATGGAATGAATGGTGGAATGAATGATCGAAGGGATTTACACAACGCCACTCTATAAATGTAACAGACCACACATCACCGGAACAAAAGAAACCAAACATGCCGAAAAAGGGAGAAAAGTAAGAAAATATTCCGAGATGGACTAGCACGGCCATTGACTGAAATGGCAGAATGCCCCGACTTACTCCGGGCTGATAAGGCAGGTAGGGACCGACCGGAAGGGAAGGAGGGAGTGGCAAAGCAGCTGGACGAGGAGGGGAGGCTTATCAGAGTGGAAGTGTTAAACTTAGTCGTCAGGCTAATGGGCTCGCTACCATTTTGCCTTTGGGTCCCCAGTCGGTCGTCTTATCAACCTTCGACGCCATCGGCAGACCAAAATTGAGCACGTCTCCCTGGATGGAGACGACTCCATAGTCACTAGTTACTACGGAGTACTTACTCCGTAGTACTCCTGTCTGGTGGCGATTACCTAACCAGCCTTTTCAGGCCGCGAATGAGCGACGGTACCCGGCCCTCCAATCACGAGTCACGGCCACCACTAAGGTTGGCGGCACCGCCCGCACACCGAAACCCCCAAGGTAGACCGGGGCTGATAGGGAAAGTCAGGTATCAACAACAACTTCACGGTCGCACCAAATCTCTAATTCCAATGACTAAGTTCGCATCTTTCAGACACTAAAACTCAATGGTGTTGGAGCTACGGAGGACTCGCGACGACATCGGATTCGTCCGCCTCACTTTTCCTCCGGGAACAGTCCTAGAGCTCCCCATGCATAAGGATGATGCGAACAAGGGCCACCTGCAGAAGCACCTTTTAGAGCTAGACAGGAGAGCTACCGACAGCTCTCCAGCAAGCCAGCAACTTGTCCAATTGACTTATCGTATCTCGCGCTCTGCCAAGGACCGGTAGACCACGTGTACGGCCTCCATTGCTATAAGTGCGAGACCGCCACGACGCCACGTTTCGGCCAGCTGTCATGGGTGCTTGCCTGGTTTCCCTACAGCGGTGAGATGTACGATTGTACTGTGCTCCGTACCTACGTTCTTTTACCCGGTGTCTTGGAAGTATACATCCGGCCGGGGTTCGGAGTCAACCGAAAGGACGACGAAACCACCAACTCCGCAGCATACCCCCATAATCGGTAGCTACGTACTAGCTCGGGCGCTACTAGTGATTTTGCAATCCTTGGAAGTTGGAATGACGGTCATCTCTTTGAGGTTTGAACCATAAACTTCTTACTACCTGGAACACTACGAAAGGATCACCCATCCAGCTC